AGCAAGATTTCTCTTATGGAAAAATACTGAGACAGAATAGCCACAATGTTTTCCTGGTTCATTTCCTTTCGCTGATTGCTCTCTGTCAGTGTTGATAGGAAGCAAGAAGTCCAGCCCTTGTCTCCTACTTTGCAGAATGCCACAGGGCTTGCTACTTTTCCTGTCTTTGTTTAACAGCCATATGAAATGGCTTGATCAGATTATCCATCACCATGGGCTAAGGTAACATAAATATGCTGGTGACAGCTATTTGTTTCAACCCATGATGAGTTAATTGATATTGTGACTTCCCTCTCACAGTACTTGGAGGCTGCTAAGGGATGGATGGGGAACAATGGACTGAAGCTGAACCTGGCTCTGGATTTGAGCTTTGTTGGTCCATGGAGAATTGCCATCTCTTGTTTTGGACGAGGTGGTAGTGCCGAGACAGATCCAATATATAATCTGGGAGTTCTCCTGGACGCAGGATTCCTATTCACGGTCACTCATCAAGGGGGGCTTCATGCACTGTGCTTTGTGTACCAGTTATGCCCTTTCCTGGACCAACAGTTCCTTTCACAGTCACTCATACCCTAATCCCTTCCTGTCTTGACTCCCTTGAATCACTCACACCCTAGTTACTACCATTCTTGCAGTGGGCTTTCCATGGGCTGCCCTTGAAAACTATCTAGAAGCTTAAATTAGTTCAAAACGCAGCTTACTGCATATCTTTCATATTTTGTGCAAGCCTTGATGCTCACCTGTGTCATTTCTCCAGGGAGAGCTGCATTGGCTGCCAATTTACTTCCAAGTCACCTTTAAAACCCTACATGGCTTAATATTGGGTTACTTGAGCTTATCTTTTCCTAGTCTTATCTTTTCCTAGTCACATCTACCTAATCCATTGGAACGGGGAGGCAAAAATGCTATGGGTTCCCTCTTCTAAGGTTCATGTAGCAGGACCAAGGAGCAGGGATTTCTCTGTGGTGGCTACCTCCTTATGGAACATACTGGGAGATAAGATTAGCCCCCATTTTGACAGGCTTTTGCAAGTCCTGTAGACCAGGTTTTAATAAGGGTCTAGGGAAGCTAGAGTGGGGTAAAGCCCATTAAGTGGCTTATTTGACTAATTATTGTTGCCAGGAAGAGGGTTGTGGTTTTTTATTGCTTTTTATATTGTAAGCTGCCCAGAGTCACTGACAGTAAGTTGGGCAGCCATATATATTTTCTTAAACAAACTGGAGCTCCTAGTGCTCTCTCAACTTGGTTGTTTTCTTGCAGATGTGTCATTACCCAACTAGATAATATTATCAGTTCTAGAAGGGAGTGGGGTTTGCTCACTATTTGTGTGGCTTGTCCTGTCTGCGTGTATGTTCTTGGTAGTGATTAGATTGATTGTTTAGGTCAGGGGTTGCCAACCTTTTGGACTTCAGGGACCACCAAACTCATAATTTTAAATTCCAGGGACTGCTAACCAGTTCTGTGGGTGTGGCCTAATTTGTGGGTGTAGCTTGGTGGTTATGTGGCTGGCTGGGCATGGCTTGTATGTAAATATAAATATTTATATAAATATTGAACTTTATTAAAAAAGGCCAACTTTTACCCAAAATCAGGCAAAGAAGGCAGATTGAGTTGGTCACACAATCACAGATTCATTCAGAGATCTATCTATCTGCTATCGGCTAGTTCAGTCGATCACATAAAATTTTCTTGCAAGCAAACTCAAAATTTGCTAGCAAGCATATTCACAAAATTAACTCACAACACACCATGTATGTAAATATTGAATTTTTTATAAAAAAAGAACAACTTTTACCCAAAATCAGGCAAAGCAGCAGGCAGATTGAGTTGCTCACAGAATCATTCATTGATCTATCTATCTGCCATCGGCTACCTGAGTCTGTCACGTAAAATTTTCTTGCCGTGAGTCTGCACTGAATAATAGAACCTTCAGTCCTGAGAGGTTCAGCTGTGCTTAAAAGTAGATCTAAAGACTAACTACAAAGCAAGAAATCCAACCATTTCCTGCTTCCTAGCTAATCTAAATCTCCCGGCACAGCAGAACAGCTGATGGTCGGTGGGGGGAGAAAAATAGCAACTTAGCAGGCCAGGTAAGGAGTGAGTGGGCGGGGATGGTTCCCGAGGGCCATGTGGGCAGCGCAGTCTTGTGTTTCTGCGCTGCCTGGATTAATTGCTTTGGGGGGGTTGCTCTGGGGGTGACATTTCTCTGCGGCCCATCAAAATTTTCTCATGGCCCACGAGTTGGCGACTGCTGGTTTAGGGTGTTTGATTGTTTCTCTGCTGTTGATATTTTCTTAATTGGGATATTATTTACTTCTTAATTGTTCCTCTAGTTTTAATCTTAGTATTAATCTCTGCTTATCTGGGTTATTGATTGCTGGTGACAAGGCTGGTCTTTTTTTTTTTAGTTTCTCGATTCTCTCTAGTCCTCTGCCTGTTTGTCCTACCTAGTGGCTGTTACAGTCATTACTATATGTTGTAGAGTACTCTTGTTTTTTCTTCTAGGGCCACTTGTTCTTTTGATTTATTTAAGATATTTTGGAGAAATTTAACTAGTTTTATGGTGCTATATGGTTGGAGTACATTTGACAGTTTTTTTCTGAAATGTTTAAAACTTGAAAGTGTTGAATAAATGGTTAGGACTGGTTCTCAAAATTTTGCCAGATAAAGCTTGCCACAGTCATGTAATTGTGAACTTAGCAACCAGCCCAGATTCCCAACCATTGCAGTCACGTGATTGCAATTTGTGATTCCCTGCCAGTTTCCTACAGTCGTAGGTATTTTATAATGTAAAGCAGTGTTATTAGATGGATGGATTAAATAACTTTTAAAAACAAGTGTGCTTTCTCGTTCTGTTGTCTTTCTCCCTAGAATAGTAACTGCTTTCATGATGGCTCTTTGCTTGTCAGCAATGATTTAAGCTCTTTTATTCTCAGGTTACTTTTCTGCCTTTACGTTTCTTGTTTGTATTTAGGCATATCTTCTCCTAATATTAGGAAGGAGAATTCCTATTATATGATGTAGCCCTTCTTTTTATGTGTTCGGTGGAATTTCGTTGTTCAGTTTTTTTTCTTGTTTTTCTTTTTTGTATTGGCAGGCGAAATCTTACAAAATTGTCCCTCATCTTCAGTCATATGCTTGCAGAAATAAAGGCAATCTTCCCTAATGCTCAATTCCAGGGTGACAACTTTCGTATCACAAAAGCAGATGCTGCAGAATTCTGGAAGAAGTTCTTCGGAGAAAAGTAAGTATCAGCTATATCGGGGTGTCAAACTCAAGGCCTGTGGGCTGGATCTGGCCTGTGGGGTGCTTAGATCTTAGACCCACAAAGTCGGCCTGCAGTGCCTCTGCTAGTGAAAATGGGACGCAGGCAGGGAACACCCTGTTTTTGTCCTGGATGGCCTCTTGCAGCACCCTGCCAACCAAAAAGTGCTGCTGGAGGCTGTCCAGGCTAAAATGGGGCACACAGGGTGCTGCAGGAGGCCGTATATCCCATTTCTCTCCCCCCCCCCCCCCCGGCCCGATTCAGGGAAGACAACTATAATACTGATCTGTACCTCCAAAAAATCCAGTTTGACCCCTGAGCTATATCAATATAGAAGCTAGTGGTTATTTCTCCAGACTATCTTTATTACTTTTTATTTCATTTACATTCACTCATGTAAATTGTATAATATTATCACAAATGACATTATTTGAAGTGAGCTATAAATTGAATAAATAAATGCAAGAAATAAATAAAATAAAATAAACAATTCTCTGCAGTGTTACACTTTCACATTTAATAGAGATTCCTGAAAAACTATCATTTTCTCTCTTCCAGTTAAAATGGACCATTTTGGTAGTAATTTAGAAAGAATGGTTGATGCAAGCATACTTCTCAAAAATTGCTAATATGAAGCAGACCTATGGAATTGTTTTAGAACCACAGGGTTATTGTTTGTCTAAAGAAACCTGCTCATGAAAGCTCCTTTAATCAACAAGTCTAATTGCCTTAAATTATCTTTGAAGCCATATTCGTTATAAAAATTTAGTTTGAAAATGCTTATTTGTTTTTTCTTTTTAACTTGAACACAGATATACACCAAATCAAACTCTCAAGACATTATGGTAATCAGACTAAAAACATATAAAGTATTAAATGCCTCTAATCCAATCAACAGTCTATATTTCATTAGACTTGAAAACGGTCTCTGGTATTCAATCTTATTTCAGCTATTTTATCTTATTAGTGTATTTTATCAAATGATATTTCTTTATAGAAACCTGTGATAGACAATTGACAGGAAAATAAACTTTTAATTATTACTAAATATAGAAAATTTGAAGATTTTATGAACAACACATAATTGAATTGGTTTGTTGTATATATCACAGGTCTTTACATAACGTGTGTAATTTACCAAAGGTTATGATGCAAATGTTGAAGATAAAATAACTTTGCAATAGGTAGTAAAATCATGTGTATGAATTAAGTAAAAATTTCAAAAGAAGCTATTGCCATTAGCAACAGAATCTTGGGTAACCACTGTAATGTGGCATCAGTGTTATATTAGTTTTACATTTATAAATAATATAGGTGATTTTGAGCCAGTCACTTTCTCTCAGCCCAACTCACCTCCTAGGTGGTTGTTGTGTGAAAATAGAGAGAAGAAGGCATATTAGGTGTTTGCCGCCTTGAGCGATCTATAAAAATAATAAAGGGGTAAAAAAAATCTAAAATAAATGAATAAAAAATATTTAGAAACAAACACTTATTAATAAGGAAGATTTTCAGAAGAAAAGGCAAAAGGCAGTATTAATTATTATCTACTGGCAAAAATTAAAACATAGATAGCAAAAAATAATGGAGAAACAACAAAAGACTGGCTCAAAGTAGCATAAATAAAAGCCAATCAATATTTTTAAAAAAATGGAGTTATAAAATAAAAAAATTAAAAGCAGCAATTAATACCAAATTACAACCATGCTTTAATGAGATAATGAAGCAAATATGCCTCTTTAGGGCATTCTGAATAATAGTAAATGAGTTTGATGTTAAGCTTCAAACAATTACAATCACATTTGGAATTGGAATTTGGGTTGTAAGTTGTGACAGTTGTAAGTTGTGACAGTTGTAACTACACAACCAGACCTGATTTTACATCTCTTGTTATGGTGGTCATTAAATGAGTTGTACAGTGGTACATCTAAATCACACAATCGTTAGCAAATCACACAAAGCAAATCAGTGTGAATCCATGCTCCTAAATGGAAACCAGCAAAAAACATTGTGGATCACAGCCTCATGACCACAAGACGCTGCAACAAATTGTAAATGTGGCCCAATTGGCAAGCACTCAAAATGCGATCATATGACCACAGAAAAGGGCAGCATAATATTTTACGATGGCTGAAAGAGCTCTATAGGCCATAAAGCACCCTTTCTAAGGTTGTAGTAACTCTGAACAGTTGTTAAATGACCATTCATAAATCAAAGACTACCTTTAATTAAAATAAATATAGTTAAATGTCATGCGAACACAAATATTAAATGTTGGGGTACATACACCAAAATTCTATTTTATGGTTTTGAATATTCCTTTAGTTGTGGATATTGAAGATGTAGGCAGGCTGCATTTGTTTACTTGATTTTTGCTTATCTTGGCTGATATAACTGATCATGTTAGATGCGGCCCCATTCAGGAAGAAATTTAATATCTTTTTTTAAGGGAGACCACTTGTCTTCCAGTTTAAATAAGTAAGCTAAAAGGCCATTTAGAGAAAATAACAACTTTCTTTGATAAGGAAGATGTGGTCTTAAATTTGCCTAAGATGTGTGAAAAAGCAATAGCTTTGTAAATCTAGACACATTTGAAAGAAAAATAAGTAACTGCTTTAACAGGCATTCCAAACAGGAAATTGGAATAAATTGCTTTGGTCTGTTGATAACTTTTGCCAGGAATTGTATATGAAGTATATGTTTTTGCTAGCTTGCTTGAACTTCCTAATGGCTTTTAATAACATTGGCTGTGATAATCTCCTAAATAAATCTAGGGTTGGACCCTGGGAGCACGGTTTTGCAATAATTCCATTCTCTTCTACAGTTGTTTCCAGAAAGTAATGCTATACACTGCTCTTTGACACCTTGGCTATTTGCCCATGATATCCTACACATTTCCATTTTCTCTATATGCTATAGAGGTATTTCTTCTTTTTTAGAACAAGGAACTAGCCACTTCCTAGTCTCCAAATCCTTGCTATCTCACTTGCAAGATGATTTGTTGGTTCTTAAATACTTTTATTAATGTGCTTGAAAAGAGTGAACAAGGTAAATAAGCAAATAGATAGCAAAATATTATTGTATTCTTTGACAATGTGACAAAATTAGTGGACCAGCGAAATGCTGTGGATATAATTTACTTGGGCTTCAGTAAGGCATTGATAAAGTAGACCATAACTTACTACTTGATAAGGTAGAAAAATGTGGGTTAAACAACATTATCACAAGATGGATTCGTAACTTGCTGACCAACTACACTCAATGTGTAATCCTTAATTGAACTGCATCTACATGAAGGAAAGTATGCAGTGGGATTCCTCAATGCTCTATGTTAGGCCCAGTACTCTTCAATATCTAAATAAATGATTTAAATGAGAGGATATAATAGGAACTCATCAAATTTGCAGATGACACTAAGCTGACAGAAATAGCCAATGCTTAAAAAAATAGGCTAAACACAGAAGGATCTTGGCAGACATGAACATTGGGCTCTATCTAACAAAATGATATTCAGTAGTGAGGAAAGTAAAATTCTATATTTAAGCAAGAAAAACCAAATACTCAGGAATAGAATAGGTGATCCCTGGCTCAATAGTAGTAACTGTGAGAAGGATCTTGGAGTCCTTCTTGACACTCGCTTAAATATGAGCCAGCAGTATGCTTCAGCTGCCAAAAAAACCCAACACAGTCCTAGGCTTCATTAACAGAATAAAGATTACGTGAAGTGTTAGGGTTTGACTTTTTCTAAAGTTAGTATCACTTTGTAAGACCACACTTGGAATATTGCATCCAGTTTTGGTTGCCACGATAAAAAAATATGTTAAGACTCTAGAAAGAGTGCAGAGAAGAGCAATAAAGATGATTAAGGAACTGAAAACTGAAACATGAACGGATGCAGGATATGTATATATATACATATGGATATGTATAGTTTAATGAAAAGGACTAGGGTCACAAGATAGCAGTGTTTCAATATCTAAGGGGCTGCCACAAAGAATGGGTCAATCTATTCTCCAAAGCACCTGAAGGCAGGACAGGAAGCAATGGATGGAAAATAATCAAAGAGAGAACCAACCTAGAACTAAGGAGAAATTTCCTGTCAGAAGGCAGCAGTGAAAGTTGCGAATGGCAATTACACAATTGCAGGATCCTGCCATATCATAATTGTGAGCCAATTGCCAAGCATCCAAATCATAATCAACATGATCATGAGGAGGTGATGATGGCCATGATTATGGGAACCTACCATAACTCCTCCTCATTCAGTGCTGTTTTAACTTTGGTCACTGAACAAGTGTTTATTCAAGATGGCTATTTCTAATTTAAAATGGTGTCTTATATAACATATATATTGTTTCCTTATTGTAGGACCATAGTGCCTTGGAAAGTATTCCGACAATGTCTTCATGAGGTGCATCAAATTAGTTCTGGTCTGGAAGCGATGGCTTTGAAGTCTACTATTGATCTAACATGCAATGACTATATTTCAGTTTTTGAATTTGATATCTTCACAAGATTATTTCAGGTAATTTAGTTAAACTGAAATAATACTGAACATGCGTTTCCATATTATTTGAACATAGCTGGATTTTGCAAATTTAAACAAAAGAACGGAAGAATTTTATATTTTTTCTGTCCATTTTTCCTGCTATGAGGAATTTTAAATTAGGATACCATTTCTTTTTAGTAAATTTGATATATTTTATGTTTTTCATAGCAGAGGTAATACAATTAACTCTATATTACTAGTTCTGTGGGTAACAAAACTTTCAAAAGGTACACATACAAATTTTTAAAAATGACCATTTGGAATAATGAATTCACATGAAAACATGAACTGATCTAGCATAATTATCTTGGCTTACTAAATCATGACTTATTAAGTTACAAATTAAATCCCATTTCCCTTCTCTATATGTGTTGCTTTCATTTCTTATTTTTAATTACTCCAAATTTTTATTCAGAACATGGAATTAGTTTAATCTAGGCATGATATGAATGTTAAGGGGTGAACGGCAGATTTATGAAAGCAGCAGATGACAGAAGCTGCCTCCTTTTCACAAAATAGTCCAAGGGGCTTGCAGTATGATACTGCTTTCATCATTTTAATGAAATCCTATATGTATTTCATTAGTTTGGGATCTCAAATTGGATTGTTTTAGCGTGAACTATTTCCATATTCAGATTCTTAATTCTTTGCACACTTTTAAGCTATTTTTTAAAATCTGAACATTATATTACAATGCCTTATTTTTTCACTGTAATTAACTTTAATTGGATGCTAACTTTGATTGGTAAGTATTACAGAAAATGTTTTCTTTATTCTTAGATGAAATTGAGGTGAAAATACAATATATTAAGTATATACATATAAATACATATTTTATATGTTTCACTTACGCTTAGCCTTGGGGTTCAATATTAAGAAACTGGAACTTCTTAGCTGTGACTCATCCTGGATATATGGCATTTCTGACTTATGATGAAGTTAAAGCACGGTTACAGAAATATAGCACCAAACCAGGAAGGTAATGAACTCAATATTTTTTGCCAATTTGCTTCAGTAGATTATGGAAGGTTGCCACTGGTTAGTCATGTTTCTGGATGGCTGGGAAATTATATAATTTAATGACATTGGACTACAACCAGCAACTTTTCAGTAAGAGATGATTTGGTTCAGGGGGATTGGAAGGAAGTAATTCAAAATCATAATAATTATCTTCATGAACAATATGTAGAAATGGAGGAAATTGTGAACATATTTAGCTAGGGGTCTGTTGAGAACAACTAGATTTTCTATAAAAAGAAAATGATTTGTGTTGTTGTCATTCCGAAACAGTGGTGATAGGAAAACTAGTGACATGGTGAACCATATCAAAACAAAAGCACTTAAAATAATGGTCATTATAGATAGGAATTGGTGAAACAGCTATGTAATAAGTCAAACTATTTGACAGTAAAGAAACTTTTTAAATCTTTATAATACTTTGTTAGTCAAACAGTTAAGTTACAGCTGAGTGCTGGGTATGATACAATTAAATTAAGAAATAGTTAGATTTCCATAAAGCTCAACATAAGATTTTATTTATCTACTCTTATAACCAAAGTGGAAAATACTGATAAATTTAGATTACACAAAATTCTAATTTCTCTTTTTTAATTTTTAATTTATTTTTATCCTGCCTTTATCAACTCTTTCATTCACTGTAGCATTGTCCTTTGTTTTACAGCTACATTTTTAGATTAAGTTGCACTCGACTTGGGCAGTGGGCTATTGGTTATGTCACTGGTGATGGAAATATTTTACAGACCATACCCCACAATAAGCCTTTATTTCAAGCTCTAATTGATGGCAGCCGGGAAGGATTGTGAGTATGAATTATTTATATATAGAAGGTATGGTTTGCTAATACAACAAGCATAAGTTAAACCAGGGGTGTCAAACGTGCACCAATGGGCCTCATACGGCCTGCACAGCCTGCACCCATCCTGGCTCTGCAAATGCAAAAACAATCCTGATACGCCTGCAATACAATCAGGTTTGACACTCCTGAATTAAAGTATTCTTGATCTGATTTGATTATCATAATTGTGAAATCTAGTTTCCCTTAAAGCATTCAACTGAGAATTTTTCTTGTGTCCCCAATTAGGGCAAACGGGACTAGAATGATGGCAACTGTGAAGTGAAATCAGCAGTGGAAAGTGAGGTGCAGTTAGTAGAGGTTCTATGTGGAAGACATTAAGAATATAGATCTTTCAATGAAAAACAGGCATTTCTGGAAGGGTAGCAGGAGATACTTGCATAGATGGTCTTTCAATATCATTCATTCAACGATGGTTCAAATTTGTGACGGTGTTGAATAAAGATAGTTACAACTGGTCATCACAATTCGGCCAAATGCAACTCCCAGTTACATTATCATGATCCAGGCACTTAGCAACCAGCCCAGATTTCTGCAGTCATAATTGCAATTTGTGAGTTCCTGCTAGCTTTCCGCAAGCAAGTCAATGGGAAGGCTGGCAGTAAGTCATGGCCATATGAGAACCTTGCTTAAAAACCCATGTAGTCTTTACTTAATGATGGCAACTGGAACTGCTGCAACTGTCATCACTAAGTTGTGCTACATGACATCAAGCTTTTCATTTAGCAATGGAAATTCTTGTCTAAATTACCATAGTAAACGGAAGACTATTTGTAATAGAAAAAGCAAAACGGTTCACTTATCATCTAAATATTCAATAGGTATATAAATGAAGAGCCAAACATTTATTTCCATTTCAGCTATCTTTATCCAGATGGACGAAGTTATAACCCTGATCTGACAGGACTATGTGAACCTATTCCACATGATCATATAAAAGTTACACAGGTATATTGTATGTTATTCACTTGAGTGTAATTCATTCATATCCATTAAGGACTTTAAACAGGGGGTGGGATTCAACCGTGTTACTACCGGTTAGGTAATTACATTTTTGCATCATTATAATTTAAAAAGAGTAAACACAGTTGATTGATAATAAATGGCTTCAGCCAACCATTAACCATGAGTGAAAGAAAAGTTTTTGTGTTATCATTTATAGTCTCTGAAAAATGGCCAAGAAATCATAAATTCTGCCAGTGTATGTAAACTTATGAACACAACTGTAACTCTCCTTCCCCTTTATTAGTTAATTCAGCCAAGGCCTTTAGCAGCTTCGATCTGATGTCTTCTCCTGGTTGTTCAGGTATTCCACGAAATCTTAATTGAAATTCTTTAATCTGAGCTTCCAATTCTGTGATCTCGACTAGCTCTGCCTCACACATAGCAGTGGTCTTCTCCAGACCATGCTCCATAGAATCTACTCTGGCTTTCTTCTGTTTTATCCTTTCAATCTTTAATTTCTTCCCAGAGCTCCCTTACAAGCTCATCAATTTTGGTTTCCAGCTTTGACCTGACATTTTGAATCTGTTCTTGCAATTTTAATGAAAATTCATCCATAAATGGCTTTAAAAGATCTATATCTCCTAAGAGTATCTGAGTCCATGAAAATTCTGAGTACGATTTTAAAATCCAATTTTGACTTGGCTAACCATACTAAGAAAATATTTGCCAAAATACCTCAGATATCTTTTAAGTATATATCACTATAAGCATCTTAGTTTAATGAATTTGTTATTCCTATGGAAAAAAAAACCTCAAACTAGTCTTTATTTAATTTTCAGAAAATTAATCATGACAAAGGTAGATTTTTAAAATTGTTTTTATCATTTTATTTAAATTTTGTTCCCTTCTCTTTTTCCTGTTGTTCATCACTTTAAAATTTAAGATTGTTCTATTAAACTTTTTTACAATATTTTGGGATTTTTACCCATATTTTGTGTTTTCCCCCTAACTTTAAATGTATTTAGTTCAACAATGGCTAGGAGATAGCAACAAATCTTTGTTTGTTTAAAATTCTAAAGGGAAAATTCTAATAATATATACTTTAGGCACAGTTTCTGCTGCTGATCAAGACTTTGTATTACCACCAATATAACAATTGTATTATCAAAAAGCTACTTATTAAATAATACCAAATCCAGTAAATATCAGAAAAATATTCCTTTCTAAAAGGCTTGATGCGTTTAGATAAATCACAAAAAGTATTTGAGCTTTCTGAAACCTGAATTAATCTATTAGGGCAAGTTTTAATGATATTTCTCTGATGAAGTAGATTCTTGTGCAAGAGATTTGAGTCAGAATAACTTATTTTAGTTAAGGTGCTATAAGGCTGTGTGGGTGGTTTGTTATGGTTGTTTATGAGCAATAGAATTTTTATATAAATATATTTACATGTATTTGTTTGAAAAAGCAATAACATATATAAATAATATATGAATATATTCAGTAACAATTTGTCTTACTAGTATATGTTATGATGTAAAAGTTACAACCTGAAGGGTAAGCCAAGTAGCTCTTATATTATCATTTTCAGAGGCTCTTCATTGCAGTCATTCCTTTTCAGGAACAATATGAATTATATTGTGAAATGGGTTCCACATTCCAGCTTTGTAAAATTTGTGCTGAAAATGATAAAGATGTGAAGATTGAACCTTGTGGACATTTGATGTGTACATCTTGCCTAACCGCATGGCAGGTAACTGTCTTTCTGTAATCAAATTCATACATGTCCTTTTTCTATTTCTCATTCTTTTTTGTATTGATACATTAATACGTTTTAGTTGTAGGAATAAATCTTGAAATGATAGTTTCTAGGGAAATAGGATAACTTCTTTCAAAATACTGTAATCATAGAACCCCTTTGTATTCTTTATCAGGAAAATGCAGTGTATCAATAGGTAAGAAGATTTTTTAAAACTGGGTACTAATAAACCTGGGTATTGAATTTAACATTTCCCAGTTTTATGTAACTTAATTCTATTGTCCTTTCTAGTAAATCTGTTTAAAGAATGTTTGTAAGTAGCTGTTAAGGGTTTGACACTTGTAATAGCAAGGGAACATAATGGAGCATGGACAGAAAAATATTCTCAAATAAATGAGACAAAAATCAACCAACAGTATAATTCTCCAACCTAAGATGAATATTTAGTCACTAAGAATATTTTATCTGCAACATTGTCTTGTAACTTCTAAAATCACTTAATCAGAAAAATTAACTAATATTAACATAATATTAGTAAATTAACTAATTAACTAAATTAACATAATATTAAGAGACTGCATAAATGATAGAAATCCTCTTTAAAAATATGTTTCCATTTATTCATTGATAGGGATGTTTTCTTGGGAGCAGTTGTGAAATCAGTATAGAATTAGAAGCATAGTATCAGAATTTTTCTGGGTCAAAGCATCAGTGGGAATGTAGGTTTTTAATAAAACAAAAACATTTAATATATAGTCAAGCTGTAACTTTAGCAAGTGACATCCAAGTAAATGGTATTAGGTTTATTAGGTTTTCCTTCATTAACAGTCATTTTGTTTAAAATAAATTTCACTGCACATTTAACTTTGTATAATTAACAAGCTGATGAAGAGAAAATAATACAGCAGTTCAGTTTCTACTTGCCAATGTTAATGTTTAATTGCTGTCATAATGGCTCGTTAGAGATGCCTAAGGAGAGAGTTCTGGTACTTTTTTTATCATAATAAAGCATCTGTTTTACTTAATAAAATAAGTTACTCCCAGCTCCTTAGTGAATACAAAATCACATTTGCATGATATTTTATGCCGAAGGTCAATCAGTCCCTATACATGTTGGGTATCCTTTGTTTTAAAGGCATTGAAATAAAAATACAACTAAAATGAGATGAGATCAAATTTTTATCTAAAATGAACGTTTCTAATTGATTTCTCATATATACATATATATGTATATGTCATATAATTTTGCATAGATCAATATCTTACCTTAAAGTATAGAGCAGAAGTCTTTGAATAAATTGGCACTTTTTCTGTAGCAAACATTTTAAAATCTGACAAGTACCTGCCCAAAGCCCAAACTGAATGATGTAGGAGTATGCATGTGTTTTTTATTTTGATTTTAGATACTTTTGTAGTTCAGTTCAACAGAACAGACAAACATTCATTTGTATAAGCTTATATTGGTTATAGCAAGGCTAGTGAGGTCCACCAATTTTTCAGCTGACCAGGTCCAATTAATGTTTAAGTCTCTCAATAAAAAGAATATTGGAAATCTTGGTTTGCACTACAATATTTCAAAAGCCATCAGTAAATTAAATGCCTAATTTATGTATTAAAAATGTAAAAGTATATAATTTACATATTTATAAGTAATGTTGTGAATACCTAAGAAGGATTGATAATGATAGTTGGCTCTTCTGATCTAATACTTTAGAATTTGACATCAGTTTAGTCCTTAATAATATAAAAGATTATACTCCTAAGCCCTAAACTTTTCACTATATAAGTTGGAGCTCCACTGTTCTGAAAATCAGATATGAGTTCAATGATATATAAGCAGTATTGGTTATGAAGCCACTGCAATGTGACTTCCAGTTTGAGCTTCTTCAGTGACAGACCAAAATCTCGTCTCTGCGAGGCTTCGATCCGTGCTCACTGCTGGAGCGCCCTGAGCTGGCTGGCTTCGGGGCTAAGCCACCCTGTAGAGGTGGTGAAGAGGGGGGAGACTGCCTGCAGGGTTGAGGAGAGCCGCATCTCTCCTCCCCAGCTGGCCATTACTCCCTTTCCCGAAGGCAGTTGCAGCAGTGGTCAGAAATGGCCACCACAAAGAAGAACTCCACCGGAAAAGAATGTGCAGGAGGAAGATAAGAGGAGAAAGTTTTGGTTGACCGGGTCAAACAGCAAAAACAACAAATAAGGTACCCTGGAATTGAAACTATTAAAAAATAATAACATTGTTCCCTATGAAGATTTTTAAGCTGTGAAGGAGAGAGAAAAGGGAAAAGATTTGGTTTTTTTTCTCCTTTTCCTATATTGAGAGCTAAGAGACTGAAGTAAAAAATTGGAAAAAAATCCACTTTGACATCAATAGGCATTTAATGCTGAAAATAAAACGTCAAAGGGATAATAAAGATTTCTGGATAATTAAAAGCTTTTGAAAACAGAAAAGGAGAGAGGAAGAATAAAAGGGCAGGATCTGGAAGGGAGGAGGAGACTGCCTGGAATGAAAAAAGAACTTACAGCAAAATCTCAACAAGACTTCCAAAAGATACATTCTAACTAAAATATCGTAACAAAAACCCCAGGATGAGAAAGTCGAAAAAGAAATAAGAATCTATAACTCGGGACTATCTGGATTACTTGATGATTTCTGGATTCTTGGTTATTGTTTTGAATGACTAAAATCAATCAGGTGGTTGTTTAAAACTGTTTAAAATGGCTCCACTTTTAGAAGAACTGAAAATGGAACTTAAAAAGTACAAACAAGATGCACAAGAAGGGAGAGGTTCTTTTGGCTTTGTATTTCAGTTTTTAGAAATGGAGATTTGGAATTATGAGAAACAACAAGAAATGCCTGCAGAACAAGAAGATTGCGACAAAGAAGAAGCTATCTTTAATGAACAAGTAATCTTAGATGAGGGGGGGAAGGAAACGGGGGGAAAGAGAATGGAAAGTTTAAGATTGGGAAAAACAACTCCCCCCCCCCCCAAAATAGAGTGAAAAATAAGTATAAAATCAGAAAGCAACAGAAGAGGGAAATGCAGAAGAGAGAATTAGAAATAGAGAGACAAGGGGGTAAAAAGGTGAGGGAGAAGATGAGAGGGAAGAAAGAAAGGAAAAAAAGTCATAAAGGACAGAAACAAAATACAGAGAAACAGGGCCTATTTAGAGATAATGGGTGAAAAATTAATGGAAAAAGGGATTCTGCAAAGGTACATAAGATAGTATGGTTCTATTAGAAGCAGAAATAATTTTAGAAAATATGAAACAATGTATGATTAAAATGTCTGATAAAATAGCTATCGTAATTCAGTGGAATGTGTCAATAAATAAATGTAATAAAAGGCATATTTAATGATTTATAAAACGTGAAGAGAAATAAGGGAAAAATTCATTATGCAGATTTTATGTGTTTTTAAGGGAGTATGATATTTAATGGAAAAGAAGTGTTAAAGATGTTAAGATTTTAATTATTGTTAATGATAGAACTGAACTGGAACAGAATGAGGGTTTATAATTACATATATTTAAATCTTTTTTTTAAAAAAAGAATATAGTGTGTATTATAAGAATGTACCAAGCAGAATTCGATTGGAAGTTATGTATTATGTATTATATTGGAGGTCATAACCTTAAGGTATATATTGGTAGTTTAAATAAGAGTTGAATGGATGTAATTAAAAGATATAAGGGTGTCATACTCCAATTAGTAACTACAGGAGAAAACTTGTTTAATGAGAAAAGATAATATGAAATTGAAACAGAACAGACAAAAGTATAAATATAATGATTTGAATTGAGATGAGATAATAAAATTAAAATCGAGAAAATCCAAAGGGGAAAAACTATATAGAAAATGTAAAATAGTATAAGATATGGAATAGAATACAAAAAGGAGCATGAAATTGAGTTTTGTGTCTGTATAAAGAAGTTCAACCCGGGACCGTGCTATTTTCAAAAAAGATGTTTTACTTGTATTTTGTATGTGTGAAAACCCAAATAAAACTTTATTTTTTTTTAAAAAGCCACTGCAATGTGATGTTTGGACTAAGGAGATCCATATTTGTATATCCATTTGTATATAAAATTATGTTGGTAACTTTTGATGAGTTGCTGCAATCTGTTTTACAGGATTGTTGTAAAAATTAAAAGGGAAAACGCCTTAAACTTCTTAATGAAATATTTGATATAAGTGCATTGAATATAGATTTCTTAAAAGAATCTTGTATTGAATTGGTTACTGATCATTATCTTATTGCACTACTTTCTCAAACAAAAACATGTGGTTGCTAAGAGTCAGCACCAATATCATCATCTTCTTTTAACAACCCCATAATCCCTTGCAGGATGGAGTCTGGGCAACTGACTGGAGCTAGCACTGTTTACTGGCGGGATGCCCTTCCTGTCACCAATGCAGAGTTTTATTCAGCAGATATATTCTCATTGTGCCCAGAGAGAGAAATATCTGCCTCTACCTAGGATCAAACTCACAGCCTCTTTTTTGGGGGTTCGTGTATGTAAATTTTTATTTTTTTCTTCTTTTTACAAACATATCATTGTGTGAACTGTGTGGTACCAGAGTGTCTTACATTTTGAAACAAATATGACAATATTCTTCATATTCAATACAGGTGACAATCTTATAAAGTTTCATATTAATACACATATTTTCTTTGATTATTCACCATTTCAGTAACTTATTTTATGTCAATCTCCATATTCTAAATATTCCTCTTTTTACTACGAATAAAATATTATTAATCATATTTGTAGTGTTTAACAAACTTATGTGATTCTAATAATAATTCACCAATTTATATTGAATTATAATCTTACATTATTTATTCCCTTTCTGATTTTTAATTATACCACTATTATATTTTAAAAAATATCCCTTTCTTAATCACATTTTACAACTTATTTAATACAAATAAAATATTATCATATTTACGTTTGACAAGTTATATAATTCTAATGATACAGTTGTTTTTATCAAATTATAATCTTTCATTCTCTTATTCGATATTTCAGTGTTATTTTTATGTTATTCAAATTCTACATAGCATTCCTTTTTCTGAAAATAGAATGTTAATATTCATATTTTTTACATTCAGCAATCTTACAAAGTTTAATTAATAATACACATACTTATGCTGAATTATATTTTTCAATTGTTTGATTATTTGAAATATTCAAAATTACCCTCATTGAAATTCTAAAATCCCTTGTTGTTAATTCACCTGATAAAAGTATTCCATTAATCCTCCTTTCTCTAGCTTCTAGCTCTTTTTTTATTACCCATCATCTCTCACTCCCATTAAAGCTTTTAATTGTTTCTTGGCTTGTCTCCCGTATTCCTCTCAAGGATCTTTAGATCTATCTGCTACCAGTTCTTGGCCCATTCTCTTAAACATTTCTTACTTCTCTACCCATTTCTATTGTCTCTTTTTTGAGTTGTCTCTTACCCTTGTCTCTTTCCCAAAGAAAATTCCCTGAAATTTCAATTCCTGTTTGACTTCTCCTAAAATATTCTCCCCTTGATTTATATTATCAATCATTGTCATTTTTCTTTTTGTCTCCTTGTCATTTCTTTTCGTTTGTTGTTTCATCTTTTCTGTTTTTCCTGTTGCTCTTTTGGTTAACTTCTCCTCTTCCTGGATATCCTGTTTTCTCTTTGTCATTTGTGTCTTAATTTCCAGTTCATCTATGCTCTGTATTTTATTCAGAATCTTCTCACATGTTCTTGACAAAATATCCTTCATATCCTGAATTTCCATTACAATTTCTTCCCAAATTCCAATCATCTTTGTTTTTTATTTATTTTTGTCCAATAATCCAACAATATATTATTCCAACCAAAGCCATTTCTCAAACAAAAAATTCAATGTCCAGTGTCCAGGAGTCTTTGTATCCCCAGGTTAATCTGTCTGTTTTTCTGGATAATCCAAAAGTAGGACCTTTATAGAACCTCCTACCAATTCAGTCTATATTGAAACTTTCAGGTGTCTTTTTAGTGTTAAAGTTTTTCTTATTCTCCCCTTTAAATTTCCAAAAGCCAGGCCTTTCCGGTATTTTGAGAATATATTGTGCCTTTTGACAGCAGGTGGCACTCTTACATCAGTTTTCACTTTATTTTGTCATTTTTATTTCTTGTTCAATTTTACTCAAATTCTCCAAAATATAATATAAAATTAGCTTTTTATATGAATAGTTCCAGCCTTTTACAATGCCTATCCAAAGCCAGCGTCTGTCCAATTTAAAGTCCAATTTTCTGTGTTTCTAGCAAAATTTCTGTTTCCTTTCCCTTCCATTTTAAAATCTTAAACTTTTATTCATGTCAGGTCGCTGTCACTTTAACGATAATTCTGAGTGTCTCTTTTTCTGAATCTTCTTTTTTGGGGAGTTGCACTTTAAATACAAAGGATTCTTCTCACACAGCTCCAGACACTGTTCACCGGCTCTCCTCCATCACTCTTCTTGGATATTAAGCTGTCTCCGGCTGTGTGGCAGCCATCTTGGGTGCCTCTTCTTCCTGCCGTGGCATAGAGAGCATAGAAAACCCTGGGGCTCTACAGGGTAGTTGCATTCTCCCCAGGAACCTCTCAGGGTTACCCCTCTGTTGCTTCACCCCTCCAAGGCGGCTTTGGCATCTTCCAAGCCCACAATCCAGGAGAACCCAGTGCAGGGACGGAGAGCACCGTTCCCTTGCGACTAGTGTCACCTCGACATCACTTCCGTTTCAAATTCACAGCCTCCAGCTCCACTTCTAGGCCATCGCACTAAGAGTCAACACCAACATGATGGTAATTAATCAAATAAAAACCAAGGTCTCGCAAATAGCAGCATACATTTTTTCATCTGGTGTCAACAATTTCTGTATTTTTTTTTAAATTTAAATCTAGAAACAACACAAATATAGACAAAACATAAAATATACTAAAAGCACAATTAAATGAAATAATTGTTAAACTTATAAATGATAGAGAAAGAAAAGTGGTGGGACTCATCTCTGATGGGGGGCATGAGTCTGCTTACCAAGATGAGGTGGACCGGTTGCTTACATGATGTGGAGACAATAACTTGGTCCTCAACACCAATAAGACCAAGGAGCTTATAGTGGACTATAGAAGGAACAGAGCAGATATCCAGCCCTTGCTTATCAATGGAGACCAAGTGGAGCAAGTGGCCAGTTTTAAGTTTCTGGGTGTTATCATAAAAGAGGACCTGACCTGGGGTGCTCACATTGCAGCAGTGATCAAAAGGGCCCAGCAGAGATTATACTACCTGACACTTCTCAGAAAACAACAACTGAATTAAAAACTGCTGGTGATCTTCTACTGCTGCACCATAGAGAGTATCTTAACTTACTGTACCTCTGTATGGTTTGCCAAATGCACAGTGGCATATAGGAAAGCAGTCTAGAGGGTTAATGTCATTGCCCAAAAGATCGTTGGTTGTCCTCTCCCCTCTTTGGAAATGCTTTATAGTTCCCGCTGCTTTAAAAAGTTCAAAACATTCTCAAAGATCCATCTCATCCCGGGCACCCTTTTTTTGAACTATTAACCATCTGGCAGGCGGTACAGAATAATAAAAACAAGGACAGATAGGCTGAAAAACATCTTCTATCCCAGGGCAGTAGCTCTTTTGAATTCTACTGTATAGTGCAATGTTGGTGCACTGTCGGGGATTTTGGTTAAATGTGTGGAGTGTGAAGGATGTTTGTTTGTGTTTATTTTCATGGTCATGATGTGCACTGAAGATGGTGTTTGATTTCGTTGTACAAGGTGCAATGACAATAAAGTAAACTAAACTAAACTAAAAAAGAATGAGGAAAATAATGTCAGAGTATATTCATTAACTGGCAGAGACATGGTTAACAAAGTCAGCAAGTCAGTAAGCATGGCAACAGACCAGCCAATGGGAGCTGACAGCCTGGGCGTGTTTGGCTCTGTGTGCTTTGCTGAGAATTGAAACTGAAACTAGAGCTCTCCTCTGAACTGAATCTGTAATATGTCTGCTTCTGTTTGTGTTTGGTTGTAACCTTTCCACGTTGGAAGAAACTACTGGTATTGTACATTTACTTATTTTATATAAAAAGTTTAATGAATCCTGCTGAGTCAGTCATCTGTGTATTTTCTGGACTTGAATTTCTGCTGCAAACTCTAACAAATAAACAGATTAAGAAAAAAATAAAAAATCAACCTTAATTGTGGGGTCCTTGGTGCTCTCTGAGCTTGGTTGTTTTCTTACAGACATTTCGGAAAACAAACAAATTCACAGACAACCAAGGACCCCATAATTCAACCCTCAGCTACAAATATTCTCTTTAATCTGAATTATTAAACTTGTCAATAGTCAATGGCATATTAATAAACGCTATATAATGTTATAGTATAGTTAAATATAAAATATTATGCAATATTTCCAAAGCAGTACATATTGCTTCATTTGATAAGTAAAGAATATTGTGTTTTCCAAGATGGATTAGTTAAATTCCCTAACATGAGGGATAATATCATTTTTTCAAATTTCTCAATATATTTGAGATATATTAAGAATGACAGAAGGGCATGAATGGATCTTACTCATGTAAAAACAAAGAATGTGATAGTCTGTCCAACTGCAATTGGTCTTTCCCAACATGGTATGTAATAGAAAGTTGCTGGTGCTGTTGTTCATTTGAAGCTTCCCCCCCCCCCTCTCTCTATCTCCATGTTTGCATCGGTGTTTTTAAAAATACTATTAATATACTTTTCATTACCTTAAGAATCTACTATGTAATCAAATAATGCTAAATCGTTCTCAGCATTTAAACATTTTTGTTTTTCATAATTCAGGAATCTGATGGTCAAGGATGTCCTTTTTGCCGTTGTGAAATCAAAGGAACTGAACCCATAATTGTAGATCCCTTTGATCCCAGAGATGAAAACATAAGATGCTGCAGTATTTTGGATAGCTTTGGTATTCCTATGCTTGACTTCGATGATGATGATGATAGAGAAGAGTCTTTGATGATGAATCGGTTAGCTTCTGTGCGAAAGGTGCTTCTCTTTTTCCTGAAATATGCAATGGCTTTGTAGTTTGCAATTATAATTTATACATCAATTAAAGAATTTGCAATGGTTATAAGTGTGAAAACTGGACCTAAGCCACTTTTTTCAATGCCGTTGTCACTTCAAACACTGACTAAATGAACGTGTAATTCAAGGACTTCCAGTAAAAATATGAACTAGTAGACTAAATTGCATCATTGTCTATTCACTGGATGTAAACTGATGCATTCTCTCTTTTATTTTGTGGAGAGTATTGGAAAATAAGAAGAATGCTTTTGTATTATTATAGGAAACTATTTAGCTCATCAGCTTATTTCTAATTGTAGCAATCCAAGAGCTTCCATGAGAAAGGTACGGATACATCAGCATTTCCTGTGTTTTCTGCCTAAAACCAGGTGTCAGAGTCAGATTCACTCCAATATTCCATTAATTATAATAGCTAATCACAGTTGAATATTAATTTCTACAATAGAACAGAATAGAGCTGTGTCGATCCAGATGTTACTGAACTACAATTGCTGTTATCTATGATATTGTAGTTTGTTGGCATCTGCTGAGTCAGGGGTTCCCTGACACCCTATTTTGTCACCACTTCATGCATATATGTTATTTATAGGTGAAAATCTTTCCATAACTGATTATGCATGTACTACTAATATTTCATATTTTAGTATATTTCAACCCATTTTGAATATTCTGAGGATTAAACAAAATTTTTGAAGGGATCTCTATAAAGCTTAGTTAAAAGCAGGCTTATCATATTTAGAGCAAAATTCTGAGTAGTATATTTAAGCTGTATTTATACCTATAATACTGTTGCCTTAGCCTATATAGCTGTGATGGCGAACCTATGGCACACATGCCACAGGTGGCATGCAGAGCCCTCTCTGTAGGCATGTGAGTCATTGTCCCAGCTCAACTCCACTGTGCATGTGCCTCCTGCCAGCCAGCTGATTTTTGAATCTCTGTCATACATGCGTGGGGGGGCATATGCAGGAGACACACACATGCATGAGGGGTGGGGGGAGCATGGGTGTGGCGTGGCTTCCCGCGCTCTCCATTTTGGGTCTAGTAGGCCTCTCTGTAGCCTCTTGAAAGCAAAAATGGGCCGCGGGGGGACCAGGGGGTGGGGGAGCACGGGGGGTCTCTGTCATACTTGCGCACAGGGGTGGGGCAAGTGGCAGGGGGTTGCACGCGCATTGCATTATGAGTGCAGGCACATGTGTGTGACGTTAGCACACAACAACAAAAAGGTTAGCCATCACTGCTATATAAGTAATTTGGGAATAGAGTTCTAGGACTTCTCCCACCTAATTTGCAAATGGAAACCAATAAATGAAGGTAAAAGAAAGAAGCAAATATAAATAAAATCATCAACAAAAATGTCACAATTTGGGCTGGCTTGAATTTCTTGATTATGTGGCAATCATGTTGACTGCTGGCTGATATCCAGCCTGAATAAAATTGGCCACTGGTATAATTTTATGACTCTTTGTATATGTAACATACACATATGCAGACATGCCTATATGCACCAATATATTTTCAGGAAACTGAATTAGTAAACTGAGAACAGAAATTGAAATTATATGCCAAAGATAGTCTTTTGACATTTACTTATCTAAAGGACTCTTTAGAATTTATTTTACACAGTATGATTCAATATCAAGATATCAAATTAAAGAACCGAAATGGCATTACTGTTATAAAAATGAAATACCTAGTAACTTAAGATCTTTTTTTAAAAAAAATACCGTCTGAAAAACATAATGGCAGATATTGCAGAAAGCAAAAGCAGTCTTGTTTCAGAAAACATCCAACTGTAAAAATTAACATTCTGATAGGGATTAGTTTTCTATTTTAAAGAACTCCAATAAAAACTAAAGATGGACTACTAAATTACTAACAGAGATAAATAACTAGCTTTAAATGGTCAAACAAAAGATTGAGGATTAAATTTAAGCCATTACAATTAAATCTTTATTATAGTCATAGACCAACATAAATGATTTTACAAGATTCCAAAGAGTGAGGAGTCAAGTAGCATGAAACTTCAAATCCTATAAAGCTAGTTGTCTAACTTAGATAATAGATTGGATTATATTGAATTTTTCTGGGTTGCCTCTATTGAGGGAGCAGGATTTCTACCTGTTTTACAAGATACAATCAAATCTGATTTTTGTAAGATGTATCTCTTTCAGTCGCCTGTTTACTTAATGACTATTTCTGTTTTAAGAACAAATTGTGGTTGCTAAATTAGCAGAGAGTATGAATTGTGAGGAAAAAGAAGAGCTGAGTTTTGCTAAGTGCTCCTTTAAAAGTGGGATATAGTATTAATAATGTGAATAATTGTATTTTATTACCTGCAAATAGAACAACTATGGCAAAAGAAAGCAAATGTAGTATCAATAGTCATACATTCCTTGGGTGCAATCCCAAAACAACTAGAGCACCACTTGAACACTATTGGCATTGACAAATTTACCACCAGTCAGTTGAACAAGCAGCTTTACTCAAAACAGTTTGCATCCTGAGATTATACCTGAGATGTAACACCATCAAACATCTACACCTGCCTGTCCCAGGTCCTTAGGAAAGTCTCGATAGAGGAACAAAAAATTCCAAATCCAGTCTGAACATCTTATATTGTTATAATTGACAAGTGCCTAGTAAGAACTTGCAAGTTGATGCTTCATAATATCTTCTGTTGCAGTGTAATGAAAGACAGAATTCCCCAGTGACATCTCCAGGATCATCTCCTCTTGCTCAAAGAAGGAAACAATTTCCTGATCCCATACAAGGATCCCATCTTACCCTTCCACCAGTCCCTCCTCGATTGGACCTAATACAGAAAGGAGTTTGCCGATCCCCTTGTTCCAGCCCAACAAACTCACCAAAGGTAAATGTACAATTTAGTAATAGAACTTAGGAATTTAACGTTATTTTTCTTAGAAGCAATATGAGGACCTCTTTAGTTGCTATTCTCAGGGTTTTTCTGCTTTTATTCAAATACACTGAAATCAATTAACTTGTGACCATTCCTGCACCTAAGCTTTTGCTTCTTTTTTCACTAAGTCAATATTTTGTGTATTTGGAAAAGCAAACAATAATTAGAACAAGTAAAGCATATAAACTGGTGTGTGTATATGTCTTCACTGTTGAACTCTGAGCTTCCTGTTGAAATGTGCAAACATTTTGTCATCATTCGAGAAGCATCGTCAGTGCGTTTTGAACTGATGATGTTTCCTCAAATGGTGATGAAATGTTTGTAACCAAATTGCCAAGCTCGGAGCTCAAACCAACAGCCTAATCTCCTTCCTGTGTTAATACTTCAATACTTTCTGTGACTTTTTATGATTATTATATATACACACTATCCTATGTCTCTATATAGTGAGATGCTCTAGTCAGTGCGGTACTCTATATTCTTTTCAAAAATCACGAGTTACCTTATAAAGTTAATTATTTTACTTATATATTCTACACTTACTTTCACAGATACTAGAACAAATAAAATTATGTGGGATACTCAATTACAATTAGTTGAAAAAAATTATGGAGACTACTTTTGATTACAGTGAAGACAGTATTTTATGAGAAGAGAAATAATTACTTTATAAACGTTCTAAAGAATATCCAGCTTTGGATTATAGCTGGAACACTAAACAGATTTTTAACCAAATATTGGATGCATAGTAAAAAAAGAAAGAAGATATTTAGAGTATGTCTAGTCTAGTCTAGTTTACTTTATTGTCATTGCAACTCGTACAACAAAATTAAATGCCATCTTCAGTGTACGTTATAACTATAGAAACAAAACACAAACACACATCCTTTACATTCTGTACAATTGAAAACCTGATATTGCATTAATATTGCACTACACAGTAGAATTTAATATAGTTACTGCCCTGGGATAGAAGCTGTTTTTCAGCCTATTTGTCTGTTTTTATTATTCTTTACTGTCTGCCAGATATAATAGTTCAAAAAAAGGGTGCCCAGGATGAGATGGAACTTTAAGAATGTTTTGAACTTTCGTAAGGCAGCGGGAGCTATAAAGCTCTTCCAAAGAGGGAAGAGGGTAACCAATGATCCTCTTGGCAATGACGTTAACCGTCTGGAGCGCTGTCCTATCTTGCCACTGTGCAATTGGCAAACCATACACAGGTGCAGTAAGTTAAAATACTCTCTATGGTACAGCGGTAGGTTTTTCATTCAGTTGTTGTTTCCTGAGAAGTCTCAGGTAGTATAATCTCTGCTAGGCTCTTTTGACCAGTGCTGCAATGTGAGTGCCCCAGGTCAGGTCCTTTTTTATGATAACACCCAGAAACTTAAAACTATCCACTTGTTCCATTCGGTCTCCATTGATAAGCAAGGGCTGGATGTCTGATCTATTCCTTCTATAGTCCATGATAAGCTCCTTGGTCTTATTGGTGTTAAGGACCAAATTATTGTCTCCACACCACAAAAGCAACCCATCCACCTCATTTCAATAGGCAGTCTCATTGCCCCCAGAGATGAGTTCCACCACTGTTGTATCATCTGCAAATCATGTGCTTCCATATGTATGCAACATCTTAGCTGTGTACTGTATTAGTATTTTATTTTCTGATTTGATGAGTTTTTAATTGTTAATTATGGATTGTTATTGATTTATTGAAGTTTGCAAATTGTTCATTGATATTTTAATTAATGTTATCATTTTAACTGACATTGAAAGATTCTGGATGTTATTTATAATACGGTTTGCTTTTATATTTGGGTGTGTTTATCTTGATTCATATAATTTTGCAGTATTAATTTTTAGTTATGTATGTATTAGGGTGACTATACAAAATACTGTATTTGTCACTTAAGTATAGATTATATACTTAATGAAGCATTTTATTTTGTGTTATGCCTCAGTCTTCTCCAGGTATGATGAGGAAACAAGACAAGCCTCTTCCAGCACCACCACCACCAATACGAGATCCACCTCCACCTCCACCAGAAAGGCCTCCACCCATTCCTCCAGATAATAGATTAAGTAGACATTTGCATCATCCTGAAAGTGTATCTGCCAGGGAACAACCAATGCCACTTGAAGCCTGGTGCTCCAGAGAAGTGTGTGGGAATAATCAAATTGTGGGATGTCGTATAGTAGGAAATGATAATTGTCCCAAACCTGGACTTACTGCGAGCTCAAATATGAATGGAAGACATTGTCGTATGGGTTCTGATCCATTATTTCTGCGAAAGCACAGATTCTCTGAATTACCTTTAGAAGGTACCAAGGTAAGAGCCAAATGGTGTGATGCATGAAGCTTAGTTTTAGTTAGGAATATTGAATTTGAAGTCTGATGCTGTTGAGAAGTGTGTGGAATAATTAAATAATAGGAAGCCATTTATAGGAAATGATAATTGAATTTACTGCAAATTTAGATATCAGTAGAAAATATTATTGCATGTGTTATAATAAAAAAATTCTGCAACAATTCTTATGTCGTGAATTACCATTGGAAGATACATGATGCAACAAGTTTAATAAACACGAATGCTCAAATAATAGTACAGTATAAAGGTAAATGTAATATATCATTTAGTGGCCTACTTAATTATAATTTATTTGAAAATTGTATAGTAAAATAACTAAAAACATAATTCCATATCAGATTTTTTAAGGAATATGCTTATTAAAGTCTATGAGGGGGAACCCTAGCTGAATTATTTAGGTAACAAAATACAGAATGTAATAATAATTGGAAGGGGTCTTGGAAGTCTTCTAGTCCAACCCTTTATACAAGCAGATCTTATACCGTTCTGGACAAATAGCTTTCCAAACTCTTCTTTAAAACCTCCAGTGATGGATTATCTACAACTTCTAAATGCAAGCTGTTCCACTGATTAATTGTTCTCACTGTCAGGAAATTTCTTAGGTCGAGGCTGCTTCTCTCCTAGATATCTGTTACATATTCTGTTCTGTTACAAAGTGTGTGAGAAAATCTTAGCTGAATTATTTATAGTGCTGCACACATGAAATTTATATTGATGACAGGCAGAATGAAACATGAAATTAAAGATGAGAATGGGTTCAAAATGTTATAAATGAGCATTTTACTTGCATGTAGTTTGCAAATTACCATCCTGAGAAATCTATCTCTTTCAGATATTTTCAAATGGACATCTAGGTAATGAGGAATATGATGTTCCACCTCGCATTTCACCTCCCCCACCAGTTGTTTCAGCTATGCCAAATATGAAGTAAGTTCAATTTTAAGAACATTAAATTATATATTATATGAATTATGAGGATGCAGGATTTTTTATTTTTATGAATGAGAATTATGTATTGAGTAGAATATGTTCACAAATTTGGGAGTTTTCAGATCTTCATTTATCTAGAAGCCATCAATGTTCTGCAAAGATGAATTTTAAAAAATATATTTGAAAGTATTTTAAAAGAACATTAAAGAAGGCTGTGAATAAATATTGAAAGTTACCATATCATAGTCCCTTCAGATTCTGTTAATAGGCATTTCATAATTATAATCATAAAACAGATCTTTACTGGAGTCTTAAAAATACAGAATTTGTGATGCATACAAACTTTGAAAAATCAGACTTAATAAGCCAATAATAATTTTGTATCAATATGTGATTTACTAATGTGAAAAGATAGTTTCTAGAATTAAGCAGTCATCTTCTCTTTCATCTTTTTGTCGAAACAGTAGGCTCTATGCCAGGAGAAATAAAGCTTGGTTTTGGAAGCCATTAGGGTGATCTATAGTTTCATTTTTAAACAATGATAAAAAAACACTTTCTAAAATGGGGGAAGAGTAGAATTACCTCCCTAAAGACTCTCTCCGGAACTTTTCATAAATCCTGGCAATGGCTAGGATGATCATGCTCAGAGACTTCTGCCTTGTCATGAAGCTTCTGAGTGACCTTAAGCCACGCCCCCTCGCAGCCATAGGGAGGAGACAGTGGCAAAACAGTTCCAAAATCTTGCCAAGGGAACTGTAAAGACTTTTTCAGGCATCAACACTGATTTGAAGGCACATATTCACACAAATAATGCCTACTTATAGAAGTCATTGAAAGAATTTTGATGAAATGTTCAAAAAGTAATTTTTAAAAAAAGATTTAGCAGTTTCAGTATCCAGGTTTGAGGAAAGCGGGTTACAATGGACCCCAACCTACCATCATAAAAATGGAAGAGTCAAAAAAAGTTTTCCTAAAAGTTCAAATTAAAAATTCAGATTTTGAAATTGGCCTCTCTACGGGAGATAGGATAGTAAATTTTCAGTCACCATCATTCTTTCCTTCTAGTTTTCCACACATTAGGCAATTATCTGAGAGAATAAATAATTATGCATAGTGCTGATAAAAGGACTAGTAATATTTTCTTTTGTCTTTTTTTCCTCTATGGGACTCTGTTTCATAAATGCTGTTTTTCACCACTAGATATAATCCCTTCCCCCACATCTTTCAATTCTTATGAATCTGATGATAAATATTTCTCATGTCACCTCTTCAGTGGTGGGATTCAAAATTTTTTACTACCGGTTCTGTGGGAGTGGCTTGGTGGGCATGGCAGGGGAAGGATACTGTAAAATGTCCAGTCAGAGGTAGTATTTGCCAGTTCTCTGAACTACTTAAAATTTTTGCTACTGGTTCTCCAGAACTGGTCGGAACCTGCTAAATACCACCTCTGCACCTCTTGTATCAACTCTCCAATCAATGCTGTTTATTCTAGGCTGAAAGTATAAAACCAAGAGTTTTCTAGTAAAAAAACCTGTAAACATTAAGTAGCCGATACCAGATCATCTCAGTGAATCTTGAGGAAATTGTTTATTTTTTTATTAAAGCTGGTATTTTACAGAATCCTCATGATATGTACTGCAGGTGATAAAACATGAAACCATTAAGGTTTTTTTTAAAAAAAATTATGTGGCAAAACATCAGATCTGTATTTTATTTATTTATGAGAATGTATATGCCTGCCCAACTCACTGTCAGTAACTGGGCAGCTTAAAAACCCAATATAAAAATAGTAACAAGCCATAACCCCCCCCCCCCCCGATGATAACTATCAATCAAATAAACCACTTGATAGGCTCTATCCTGATCTGGAGTCACCGGGCTCATTGACATGTCTTCAGGACCTTTTGAAAGTTGTAGTGGGAGCCAATCTTATGTCCACAGGATGATTTTCCACTGGGAGGGAGCCATCATGGAGAAGGCCTTTCTTCTTGGTCCTAGTAGATGAACCTCCTTAGGAGAAGGGACCATTAACATTCCCTGCTCCCTCCACTCTAGTGGGTCAGGTAAATGTAATTGCGAAAAGATGGTCATTCAAATAACCTGGTCCCCAAGTATTGCTTTAAAGGTGACAACCAGCATCTTCAATTGGACCTGGAAGTGGATCAGTAGTCAATGCAGTTGCCACAGGAGAAATGACACATGTAAATCTAGGCCTGCATAAAGCCATGTGGACTGCCACATTTTGAACCAATTGAAACTTCTGGATAACTTTTCAAGGAGAGCCCCATATCATCCTTTATTTATAAATAATAAATAATCTATTTATAAATAAACACTACTTATATAATAATATAAATTTATGTATGTATTTATTTAGCATTCATTTATTATATACTGCACATTTCATACAACCCCAAGTGATTTAAAATAAGTTTTAAAATATAGAAATGAATAAAGCTGAACTAAAATTGCAAAACAAGAAGAAAAAAAACTAATAATATATGTTGTAAACTAAGAACATATACTGTATATTAGGTTGTGTCAAATTTTTCAACTTTCGATTTCTAACCATTAGAGGCTCAAAAGTTTTGACATTCCTTGGGGCATATTATAAAGATGTTTTGGTTACTTTAATATAATTTAGATGTGCTTGGTAAGTAACTACATAAATATCATAACTTTTTAACATTTTCTTTGTTTCATTAATACAAAAACACATTGTAAAAAATAAAGTCTTTAGACATTCAAATCAATAGGTCAATTAAGTTACATAATAAAAAATAGTATCTCATATGTCTATAGTATCATTTGCTCACAAAGTTATGCTGAAGCAGGCACTCCAAAATCCAGTTTTGATGCTGCCAATATACAAGCTTATTAGAATAAATCTAACTTGCCAGGGCTTACCAGTTATTCATTAGATAGATCATAAGATGATATGTCAGATGTGTAAAGTATGTCATAGAAGCACTATGCTTGACAATTGAATTTGAGATCAATGGTGTCATTTGGTATGGTTCTTATAGTTGAAAAGGAGCCTGTTATATCTGAAATGATGTCAAATTAATAGTTTCAGTTCAAGTATAATTTTGAATCACATATATCTTCATTAATACAATTAATTCAGTTTCTGTAGTTTTATATAGCATTCCTGCTGGCATTTGGGATACTGATAAAAAAATATGTGCTTGTTTTGTCTTATTTTGTAGACTTTACAGAAAGTACCATAGTAAACTCTTGCATTTTATCTTTATAAGCCTTATATTTCATTGAATGTTACAAACTTTTTATTAAAGAAATTAATTTAAAAAGCCACCTTCCTTTTTTGTTATATTTTATATAGCTTGAACTGCTTTGAAACACAGTTTGTGTAGTACAAAATGCATAATAGTGAAAGTGAACATTTTAAACTGTTTTGGAAGGAAAAATGTTCCTTTTCTCATGAATCTCCCTCTAAATTATAGCTTGAAGCTAGTTATCTCTTTTAGTTCCTTGCATCACATTGGGTATTTTCCCCCATTGTTTTGATGTTTAATTGTCCTAAAGCTAACCGAAATGGACACTAACAATCCATAACTTTGATGTTACACTTTAGGGTGTTTGCATATCTTTTGAGTTCTATAATACTATCTAAATGTCTGAAATGCCTGTTTTTAAAACATCTGTGCATAATTAATGACAGTTCCTAAAACTATCTTTGGAGATTGAGCTTTCAGAGTTGGGAAACACCGTTGTCTTTGGAGCTTATGGAAATAGATTCATAGCATCTTGTATTTTGACATACACTGCTCAAAAAAATAAATGGAACACAAAAATAAGACATCCTAGATCTGAATGAATGGAATATTCTTATTAAATACTTTGTTCATTATATAGTTGAATGTGCTGACAACAAAATCACACAAAAATTATCAATGGAAATCAAATTTAGCAACCCATGGAGGTCTGGATTTGGAATTACACTCAAAATTAAAGTGGAAAAAAACACTACAGGCTGATCCAACTTCGATGTAATGTCCTTAAAACAAGTCAAAATGAGGCTCAGTAGTGTGTGTGGCCTCCACGTGCCTGTATGACCTCCCTACAATGTGTGGGCATGCTCCTGATGAGGTGGCGGATGGTCTCCTGAGGGATCTCCTCCCACACCTGGATTAAAGCATCCCCCAATTCCTGGACAGTCTGTGGTGCAATGTGGCGTTGGTGTATGGAGCGAGACAGGATGTCCCAGATGTGCTCAATTGGATTCAGGTCTGGGGAACGGGCGGGCCAGTCCATAGCATCAATGCCTTCGTCTTGCAGGAACTGCTGACACACTCCAGCCACATGAGGTCTAGCATTGTCGTGCATTAGGAGGAACCCAGGGCCAACCGGACCAGCATATGGTCTCACAAGGGGTCTGAGGATCTCATCTCAGTACCTAATGGCAGTCAGGCTACCTCTGGCGAGCACATGGAGGGCTGTGCGGCCCCTAAAGAAATGCCACCCCAGACCATTACTGACCCACTGCCAAACCGGTCATGCTGGAGGATGTTGCAGGCAGCAGAACGTTCTCCACAGCATCTCCAGACCCTCACATCTGTCACATGTGCTCAGTGTGAACTTGCTTTCATCTGTGAAGAGCACAGGGCGCCAGTGGCGAATTTGCCAATCTTGGTGTTCTCTGGCAAATGCCAAATGTCCTGCATGGTGTTGGGCTGTAAGCACAACCCTCACCTGTGGATGTCGGGCCCTCATACTACCCTCATGGAGTCTGTTTCTGACCGTTTGAGCAGCCACATGCACATTTGTGGCCTGCTGGAGGTCATTTTGCAGGGCTCTGGGCAGTGCTCCTCCTGTCCCTCCTTGCACAAAGGCAGAGGTAGCGGTCCTGATGCTGGATTGTTGCCCTCCTACGGCCTCCTCCAAGTCTCCTGATGTACTGGCCTGTCTCCTGGTAGCGCCTCCATGCTCTGGACACTGCACTGACACACATAGCAAACCTTCTTGCCACAGCTCGCATTGATGTTCCATCCTGGATGTGCTGCACTACCTGAGCCACTTGTGTGGGTTGTAGACTCTATCTCATGCTACCACTAGAGTGAAAGCACCGCCAGCATTCAAAAGTGACCAAACCATCAGCCAGAAAGCATAGGAACTGAGAAGTGGTCTGTGGTCACCACCTGCAGAACCACTCCTTTATTGGGGATGTCTTGCTAACTGCCTATGCTTTCCACCTGTTGTCTATTCCATTTGCACAACAGCATGTGAAATTGATTGTCAATCAATGTTGCTACCTAAGTGGACAGTTTGATTTCACAGAAGTGTGATTGACTTGGAGTTACATTGTGTTGTTTAAGTGTTCCCTTTATTTTTTTGAGCAGTGTATGTTTTAGTGATTATTTGCATTATAAATTATCAATGAGTTAATTTGTTGAATTATTTCCATGCAACAATTGTTTTTTGACATGTACAGCATTTCAAATTTTATTTAAAGAAAATACAACTATAATTTCAGTTCTTCTAGTTTTTTTAAAAATAACATAGTATGGCTTAAACTTCTTAAGTTTTGCTTTGTGTCTCTCTCTATTGAGACATCTGAATTTGTTTTGCAAAGAAAGCTGCAGTTAATCAAAGCTGGAAATTTCTGAGTGTCTTCTTGGCTTGTGGAAAAAGAGAGAAGAGAGCAAAGTGCACAACCTCCATAAGGAAGTGGAACACATTTGTGTCTCATTAAATACACATACCTACTCTATTTTTGGCTTTGTTGTGGCAATAAAATAGAAAAAATGTAATTAAATCCATTTGTAAATGCGGTGATTGATATATTTATTTTCTGTACCAACAAAAACTCATCTGGATCTGGTGTACTTTTCTCTTGAGGTCTTCTGTTGCTGTTATAAATTCCTTTTCTGAAAAATCAAGAGAACATGTAGAAGATGAGTACAAGATTCCTTCATCCCATCCTGTTTCTTTGCCTTCACAATCACTTCATTGCCATAATATGAAGTCCCATATTCGGTAAGGTTATTTAAAGATGATGGTAGAGAATCATTTTACATGACATTCAATTTAGTTTTATATTTTATTGATGTCAATCATAATGTTACTTTTAAGATTACATCTTTACACAGAATTTAACATATTTTGATACCAGGTTTCAGCACCTCTCTGCTAAATTTCCACACAAGAAATAGACATACATCCTCAGAATATAATTCACAGCTTTTAACATATATTTCAGCAAGTACACACATGCACAGACACAAAAATAAACATGATTGGGTCTGGGCTGTAATTAATAACTTCTTGAGGGTGGAGGTGATTCCATCAGCTCTTAAGGAGGCATTAGTGCACTCTGTCCTGAAGGAGTCATCCCCTGACCCAACCAGTCTGGCTTTTGTCCGGTCTCCAACCTTCCCTTTTTTAAGGAAAGCTTGTAAATAAGGTGGTTGTGTAGCAGCTGCAGAGAACCCTGGATGAAGCAGATTATCTGGACACTTTTCAGTCAGAAGTTAAGACTGGGTACAGGACTGAGACAGCATTGACTGTGCTCTTAGATGACCTCTGCCAGTAGTGAGCTGGGAATAGTGCAACCGTCCTTGTTCTTTTTGATTTCTTAGTGGCCTTCGATTCCATTGATCATGGTTCTTTCTGGACCATCTTTGGGAATTGGGGGTGAGTAACATTGTATTGCTTTGATTCTCCTTTTTTCTCCAGGGTCCATTCCAGTTGGTGTTGATGAGGGTAGAGTTCCAACCTATGGCCCCAACTTTGTGGGATATCCCAGGGCTCAATTCTCTGTTCTGTCCTATTTAACCTTCAGATGAGGCCACTGGGTGAGGAGATCCAACAGTCTGGGATAAGGTACCATCAATATGCTGATGCTACCCAGCTTTGTATCTCCACCCTGGACTACCTGTCCTATGTCAGTGCCTAGAGGCTGTAAGAATCTCAGTGGGATGCATTGGTTTTCAACTCAACCCAAGAAAGTGTCTTTGCATATTTGGGCCTTGTGATGATAAGGGTTTTCCACCACTAGTTCTGGATAGAGTGGCACTACCCAGATGGATCCAGTGCACAATCTGGGCGTCCTCTTTGAATCAGAGTTCCTGCTAGAAGATCAGCTGCTAGAGGTGGCTAGAAGGGCCTTTGCACTACATAGGGTAGTATGCCAGTTGATTGATATATAGATTAAATTTTATGCCACCCATCTCCCCTGTAAGATGACTCTGGTTGTACCCATTTCTGGATAGGGAGGATTTGCTGACAGTTACTCATGCATTGTGACCTCTTTTCTGAACTACTGCAATGTCTTCTCCATGGGACTGCCCTTAAAAAGCACTCAGAAGCTTCAATTGATACAAAATGTAGCTATACATGTAGTAAAGTGGGTATTTGATATATGTAACATCACTGCTTTGTGAGTTACCAGTATTCCAGCATGGTTTTGGGTGCAATTCAAGGAGCTGGTTATTGCTTGATCTGCAATCGGATTACTAAGGGGTGGTCAGTTGTTTCTATCTGTCCAATTCGGTCAGGCAGATTGGGCATGCTGCAGATCCCCTCAGCCAAGAATGTTGGCTGGCGGAAATCAGGAAATCAACCCTTCTCTGCTGTAGCTCCTGCCCTTTGGAATATGTCCTGTCAGATACTAGGATGATCCTGACCCTAAGGCCCTTTTGCAAGGCCACGTAGACTTGGTTTTATGCCCAGGCTTGGGGCCTTGAATGTGTTAAGGGCCCTGTGTCCAAGCTGTATTAATATACATAATAAATTTTGCTTGGTCTCATATATTTATTTTGTACTGTTTTAATTGTTTTCAAAGTCACATGTTGCGATGGGCAGTTATAGAAATTAAATACATCCTCCTCTCTCCCCTGCCCCCCCTCATTTTAATTAAGAATTCATATATGTATTTCCCTTTATAGGAACATGAAATAAATTATAATTGTCAGTCATTTCATCAAACTTTATTTGGCTTGAGTTCTTATCTGCCTCTATTGAGTTCATGTGCAATTGGTGCTAGAAAATGATGATGCTGTCTTTTATTAAAAATTAAGATATATGATAGTGATTAAAAATAGGGACAGAGGGGATGAGTTGATGTCTGAAGTTAAATTTTTCTACTACTATTTTAAGTATCTTCATTTTGCATTTCATTTTTGCATCTAATTTCATGTAATTTCTATGTGATTAAAACTACAGGCTTTATGTTTGCTTTCAGTGTATTTGAAAATGGTCAGTGCTCTGGAATAAGTAGTGAAATGCACAATACTTCATCTGAGATGAAAAAATTGAAACAACCTGATATAGGTATGAGTAGTGCATGTTTGGAAGGGAAAAATTAACATGCTGTTTTTGAAACTTTAAAAATTAAGGTACTTTAAATGTTTGGTATTTAGGAGAAGCCTTTGATTCTACTATTCCAATACCTTTGCCGCCTCTGCGACCTCCACTGAGGGAAAATTTGAAACATGCATCTGTACTCAATAGAACGTCCTCTGATTATGACTTGCTTGTGCATCCTCCAGGTTATATATTCTCTTTTTCTTCCAATATAGCAAGCTTCTTATAAATCTTTCAAACACGGCTTTATGTAGACTAAATCTAAGACCCTGCACTAAGTATCGAATAAATGATGCCTCATTGATTTTTATGATTGTACAGGTGGTCCTCAACTTACAACAGTGTTTAATGACCGTTCAAAATTACAACAGCACTGAAAAAAGTGACTTATGACCAGTTTTCACACTTAACAACTGTAGTAGCATTCCCATGGTCATTCAGACACTTGGCAATTGACTCATATTTATGATGGTTGGAAACCAGATTCACTTAACAACAATTTGACTAATTTAACAATTACAATAATTCATTTAACTGTGGCAAGAAAGGTCGTAAAATGGGGCAAACTTACCGTGTTTCTCATATACTAAGGCTGGGTCTTATTTTTTTTTGAGCCCCGAAAAAATGGCTAGGCCGTCTTTTCGGGGGTGACTTAATTCCCCCCCTTGCATTCTCAGGCGGGCGGCGACGGCTTAGATGTTGACCTTGGCGTTGGTGGGGCACTTCGTATCGCGGTCAATACAGGCAGCACCATATCCGGGTGTGCAACAAAAGTACTTCCTAACAGCAAAATATCCCACCATTCCCCCCATTTCTCATGTCTTAATATAGGCCTTAATTTGAGGGGAGGGGCTTAATTTCATTTCATGCCTATAAAACATGCTGGGACTTCCTATTGGGGGAGGCCGTATTGTTGGAGAAACAGGGTATTTAACAAATATTCACTTAGTAGCAAAAAGTTTGGACTCAATTGTCATCGTAATTTGAGGACTACCAGTATTCTACAGTCAGTTCAAAATTATAATACATTTTTCTGCAAATGATAATATATTTGATGCATTAATATTTAGTCGTATTAGATTAAGAGTATGCAGTTTTGTGTATTTGTCTCCCACATGTAAATTTAGCTTGATGTGAACATTTTATTCAAAATCAAAATGAATTAAATTCCATCTCAAATTATCATAAATATAAGCATAATTTATAATACCATAGAAAAATGTTCTGTTTTAATGTATATTCCTAAACTGGGAGAGGGGAAGTTTTAATTTAAAAAAAAAACTAGATTAACAGTTTCATCAAGACATGTTTTCTCAAATTATCTTGATTTGCCTGGCTGTTATTTGTCAAGCAAGTCAACAAACTCTTTTTAATTTTAATTTTGGAGAGAAAGGCTAGAATATTACGTAATATGTTTCAATGATTTATTTGTAGCAACCTAAAACGGTAAGCAATTTCTCTAGCAGAAACTTTACTTTTATTTTGTATAATGGCTTCAAAGACCTCTACTGATATTGGGGTGTTACCAGAATGTGGGCTGTATCTTGGGTTAGCTATGGAAGAGCCTGAATAGTTTTATAACTCTAATTCAAGGAAAACAAGCATTAATAAAGTATTGGCTGTAGGCCCCCACAGTGATGTATTAATTGATTTGGACCATGGAAGGAGATATCTTTCAAATGAATAAATATGGCTTTCTACTAGCAAAAATATTGAGTCTGGACACAGATTCAAAGGCCCACTTATCATAGAAGTTTACATTTCATAAGGAAAATTCTGAGCTAAAAGTATTTGAAAATTCCCTCCCCCCCCCCTCCCAAAAAAAAATTCCTTTATTCTGACTTTTTAGCTAAAGATATTTTACTTTTACAGTGTTAATCAGAATAGCCTTGGAGTTTAACTGAAGAACGATTCAATAGAAATTTGTTCACTCCAAATTCATTTATCTACTAACCAGTTTGACTCCACAAAGGGACAAGTCTAGACTCGAATCCTGAAGTGTTGATGTCTCAAATAACTAAACTGAGGTAGTGCCGATTATCTTTCCTCTAAAAAAGTATTGTTGTGGTGACCCACTTAACAATCACAACTTACAACCAAAATTCCAGTCTCAATTGTGATACTAAGTTGAGAATGACCTATATTAAAATCATTGTACTGCTAGATCAACTTTCGGAAAACAATCTGATAGTGGATTTATATTATTTCTCTGTCAATGCAGGTGAAGATTTGTCCGACAATCCACCACCTTCCCTTCCTCCACCTCCACCACCTCCTGCACGCCATAGCTTCATTGAGCAAACAAGACCACTTGTTGCAGGAAATAGACCCCTGTCTGGACATGAACTGTACCACCCTCCCACTGGTAAGAAATGGTGATGGTGATAATTATTTTATTTTATTGTAGAGAGTTAGTTATAAAAAATGTTCTCAAATATTTGGGACTTCCGGTTTGTCGGCTTCGCGAGCGGTAGGGATTCGCAAAGCTGTGCGATCCCTGCCGCGCTAGCCGTTTTTGGGGCTCCGATCCGGACGGATACGGAGCTAGGCTGCCCTGCAGGGGCAGCTGAAGGTAGGGGGTATCCGGAGAGGGGTTTGGGGGTGTTGCAGACCCCCTCCCCGGCCGGCAGAACCCCCTTTTCCCAGGACGGTGCAGCGGCGGTCCGTAATGGCCGCCACAAAGAAGCTGGCAGCCGGGTAAGAATGCGCAGGAGGAAGTGGAGAAAGTGTTTGGAAGGAGAAAGTTTTTCTTGGTTCCTAGGACTCTAAGACATATTTAACAAAATTCCTGAAAAGTATGACTTTCTGAATGATACCTTCTAAAAGAGGAAAAAAGCGGCAGTTTGATGGTGCTGAAAGGAAAGCTTACCCTCTTTTCCTATGGAATAAAAAGTGAATATTAAGAAACCTATTTTTTTTTAGGTGAAAACTGGCTTTAAGTGATGAGTGGGAAGAGAGAGGATTAAAAAAAAATATCTGTATGCTAAGACTTTGTTGGAGGAGATGCTTTAAGGATTGAAAGACTAAAATATACTGCAATAAGATTTTAAGAAACAGATTTGGACTTTCTTTTTTTCTGATTGACACTACCCTAGGAGGTGAAAGTGAGAACTCTGCCTTGGTTTGGACTGATTGATAACTTTGGGACTGTTTTATCTTTCCTTTGGAATATTTTGGTTGCTGTAAGAAGAAAGAAGGGGAAAAGAAAAGATTTATAATGGCTCTTTCTATTGAGGAACTGAGAAAAGATTATGAACAAGCAAAAAAAATGGTAAAGCTGGTTTGAAAGAAGCCTTCCTTTTTTTAGAAATGGCGCTTATTAACTATCAACAAACATTACAACAGATGAAGACAGCAGCAGAAGAAGGAGAGGCAGCCATCTTTAATAAATCTCAGAACTTGACCAAGAAAGAAGGAAGAGGGGAAGGAAGAGAAATAAAGGACTTAAGATTTAAAAAAACATTGAAGAAAGGGAAAAATAAGATGCAAAATCAATATAATGATAGTAAACAAAAGGGAAAAGGAATACGACAGAGAAGGGAAGCCAGTAAGGCAGAGGCTAGAAGAAGGGTGGGTAGAAAGGTTTGTTGGGAGAAGAAAGAAAGGGAAAAGGTGGAGAAAAGCTACAAAGTTTTGAAATTAAATGGGAAAAAAGGAATCTTTTTTAGGGATAAAGGATAAAATATAATTTCTTCAAAGAGATTTTGCAAGGTACATAAGATGATATTGTAGTATTGTATTAGAAATAGAAAACTTAAATGGCTTAAGAGTTGATAAGAGATTAAAATGTTGAAATGTTTAATAATGATTGGTTTTAAAATTTAATAATATGAGGGGAGGTTTAGTATTGAGTATTAATTAAAGAGTTTAATAAGATTATGGTATTGATGTTATTATAAAATTTTTATTATAGTATTTGTTTTTAATATTTAGATTTATTGTTTAACTATGTATTTAATTATTTTGGATATATTATTCAGATAGAATGTACCAAGCAAAATCGGATTGGGTATTGGGTGTTATTTTAAAGATTAACTTGATTAATTTAGTGGGGAGATAGAAAGGCATCATACTCTGATTAGTGATTTCAGGAGAAATTTCTTTTTTTTTATAAGGAATGAGACAAAGGTACAATAAAGAATGGACAAAAGATACAAATATAATGACTCAAATTAAGATGATTAATTAAGATAGAATTAAGAAGAGTGAAATATGTGGAGAAGTTAATATAGAAGACTTAGAATGGTAAATAAAATAAGTAATGATATGTAAGATGAGCATGAATACAGTTGAAGTCCATGAAGAGAGAGATACCTGGGTCCAAGTTACTTTCCAAAAAGATTTTTTTTTATGTTTTGTGTGTTGTGGGTATATGTTTTTTTTTTTTCTGGGGAGAATTAATAAAACCTTGTAGAAATATAGAATGAGAATAATGGTAACTAAGTCAGAAAGAAATAGATGAAATAATAATAATAAAATTGAATAAGAGTAAAGAGAAATAAAGAGAAATTGGATAAGAGGTTTTTGTATGTTTATATGGAAATGGTTTAAAACAGAATTATAGTTTATCTGACTTGTTAAGTTTATAATGGAAAAAGGTTTAAATATGTAATGGATAATGATGACTTGTGTGTTTTGAAAATTAATAAAACTTGTTTTTTTTAAAAAAAAATGTTCTCAAATATTTAACTACTTGTCGGCAGAGATCTAACCATACATTTGGAGGAGTACACTATAAAATGGAAGTTATGAGATTATGGAAAAATAAGTTAATTTCCTACATTTCTGAAATATATACTATTAATGGTATAGTGGTCTGCAAATTAAGAAATAGTTTATGTTTGGAATTTTGTCATATGAGAAGACATGGCAGATTAAAGACAACTCTGCAAAAACCAGAGCTGACAACCACAGAGGAATGAAGAGCTGGCCAGGCAAGGAGAAGAATTGAGATCACCCACAAATGCCCCAGACAGCTGCTCCTTGTGAGGAAGACCCTAACTGTCTCCAGTATAGAATAGGATCTATAACTGTTAGAGCTATTGGCTCTGCATTGCTGATGGGGATACAATTTATAAAATGGTAGTATTAGCACAGTCTAATTTTGCATAATTTATACATTTTATAAATGTTATTGCCGTCTTAATTTTTTAATGCTTCTCTCATTAAATATTGCTAATACTTGCTTCTCTAATTTTTACATGAGGCTTTAAAAAGTATTTAGGGCTGGTCCTCAGAGGCTTTTAAAGATTCTCAGATGATAAAGGGACATGAGAGAAAAATTAAAAACATGATTAGAGAGTAACTGTATTTAATATTAACTAAATGCAAAACTAAATCAAGCAAAATCAAATTTAGCCATTGCCCTGACTCTAGTCATTAGTTTAGGAAATGAAGCTCCCAGCATGCCATTGAAAATGAAGTGCAGCACTTGGTCTGGAAATGTTCTAAAGTCCTATCTTGCACAATAATTTATTCTCATATTATTTCCTTTTGAAACAGCTATTAAAGTTCCAACAGAAAGGTTCCAATCATTATTGTAAAAAGTTAATTGCTTTTATTTATTTTTATCTATTAAATATAACTCTTCTCCATTGATGAAAGAGAGTAAGTAGAGCATACGTGTGTTTACTAATGCTTTGTCAATATTGTTTGGTTTGAAGCACTCTTCATGAAAGGGTAGTGTTTTTTTTTCCCACTGAGGGGAAGATATGCCACACATTATCTAATTTCTTTTAGAGGCCACAAGAAAGCTGAGAATCTTTGTTGGATGGGTGGATCTACTGTGAATCTACTGTACGTTAAAAGATTATAAAATACAATTGCAGCAAAGCAGTAGCAGACAGTGTGGTGTTCCACCGCAAACGAGTGATAGATTTCCGGACAACTAGATGTTGAAGACTTCTAGAGTGCATATACTTCAAGTTTTCTTTGAATTCTTTATGACATATTTCAATAGTTGATTAAAATTAGCCACAATTTTTATGATTAGCAAAATAAAGCATTAAAAAGAAAATGAAGTTTTCTTTTTGGAAGGGAGTCCTTTTCATGAAGGGGACCTTACAATTCAAGTCAATTGAATTAAAATTTAACATATTACATCATTTGTCTTTTGTGTATTTTTAACTGAATTATTTTTTTGTCAATTTATGTCCTATGAACAGAAATACACAAAATGATCTTTATTTTTCCTTTCACAGATCTTTTTTTTGATCCTACAAATGGCTCAGTTCCGTTACCACCTGTTAGAAGATTAACCATTGAAAATATAAAGGCCCATAGAATATCTCAGGATTATGACCAACTGCCATCTTCTTCAGGTAATTAAAATCCAATATACAGGAATAAAATTACAGAACTGTTTATATTCTGCATAATTTTTCAAAAAGATGAATTTGTTACTTTAGTCTTTCAGATTAAATCTCTCAGAAAGTATATTAAAATTGAAAATGGAGAATATGTGATTTAGGATATCAGCCTCCCTTTCTAGAGCTTCAGTTTAGATTAACCCTTTAATCTGTTTGCAAGATAGTGAAATTAGAGCTTTTCCCTATCACTTCCAAAGAGCTTTACTATTGTCCTGGGATTTTCACATCAGGGTTATGTGCTGCTGTTTTCATTCCTGCTTTTATTCTATGTTTTTGTTTTGTAAACTACTGGGAAGTCAGTCTTGATTATGGTGGTTTATAATAAACAAAATTGCTATGTGGTGTTAGAATCTACATATTCACTATTAGCAAAAAAAAAAAAGAGAGAGAGAGAAGAAAACATCACAGTCATTACCAGAAAAAAATCCATTATTAAATGTGCTGAAATATGCAAACTCAAGATGCATTGTTAATGTTTCATAGTGCTTCTCATACAGTCAGATACTGGACTTGTTTACAATCAAAAGGATTATAAATAAATAACAAAAATAAGGATATGTTAAGCAAAACCAAAACTGTCCATCAGTTTTGATAGAAGGAAATCCTAGCACAAGGTACCTAAAAGATATAACAGTAGGTACCTCATGAATTTCAGGTGGCCGAGCATTCCAGGGTACAGGCATCATTACAGAAAAGGCTTGTCTGCGAGTAACCGCAAGATGAGAATCAGTCAGTCTCGGCTCACACAGCAGAACCTCCTCTGATGATCTTATCAATCAACCAGGTCTGTAACAGCATAATTGATCTGTTAGGTATCCTAGTCCCACATTATTTAGAATCTTATATGTAAAGAGCAGAATCTTCAACCTGGCATAATACTCAATTTGAAACGAGCAGAAGTTCAAGTGCACAATCATGAGCCATACTGACCTGCTATGCCACATTTTGTATGCACTTCTCTTTTCAGATCAAGCACAAGGCTACCCTTGTAGCAGATATAAGAGCAACAAAGACAATTAATCAGGGGACTGGAGGCTAAAACATATAAAGAACAGTTGCTGGAATTGGGTATATCTAGTTTAATGAAAAGAATGACTAGGGCTGACATGATAGCAGTGTTCCAATATCTCAGAGGTTGCCAAAAGAAGAGGGGATCCATCTATTTTCCAAAGCACCTGAAGGCAGGACAAGAAGCAATGGGTGGAAACTAATCAAGGAGAGAAGCAACTTGGAACTAAGGAAAACTTTCCTGACAGTTAGAACAATTAATCAGTGGAACCACTTGCCTCCAGAAGTTGTAAATGTTCCAACACTGGAAGTTTTAAAGAAGAGATTGGACAACCATTTGTCTGAAATGGTATAGAGTTTCCTGCCTAAGCAGGGGGTTCGACTTAAAGACCTCCAAGGTCCCTTCCAACTCTGTGATTCTATTTGTGATACATTACAGTAATCTAAACACAGTTTTCCTTTCCTCAACAGGTACAGCTAAACTGTTCCCTCCATGTAAAGATATAATTAGTACACTTACCAAAACTAGAAATATGTCAGGTTCCAATGGTAATAATGTCTTTAGGAGCAACATTTTAGAGCAAGCAAATTTCTGAAATTCTAATGTGAAAACCACCCATTATAAAATGTTATCAAGATAAAGTCTCTGTTTACCGGTTGTTATCTACCCCATTGCTGTGTCCTGATTTTGAATATTGTCCTGGTTTAGAACCTCCTAAGGCAGAGGTTACAGAGAATTTTATTACCCAATTACTGATCTTTAACCTCAAACTCCAGATAACCTCCCCAAGCAATTTTTTATGGATATTATGTATCACAGGACAAAATAATATCTTGAGGTACCCCACAGTATTGTTGCCAGGAGAGAGAGGTAGTCACTCAACTCTGTGCAAACATTGTAATACGGCACCTTCAACTCACAGAGATAAGCCAAGGAAATACTTTGGTTGACAGTATTAAGCTACATGGGCATCAAACATCAATAGAATTGCATTGTATTTATCTCTGTCCCATAGAAAAGTATCTGATATGCTAATTTGCAAATCCAGGCCTAAGCCCAGGAAAGAGTTAAAATCATGTCATTTGAAAATATCTGCAGCTAGCCAGTTGCTACATTATTAAGCAGGTTGCCCACACAAAGGCTGGACAACTCATTTTTATTGGATGTTTTAAATTGTATTCTTGATGATTTCATAGTTGGACTTGATGACTCAAAATACACCGGTGATCTATGTTTCTAGTAACAAAGAGGTGCTTGTAACTGGGTGGTACTTGGTGTAACTTTAGGGAGAACTTTTCAATAATAGATTACTATCTCCTTTAAGATTTGTGGTGGAAAGGTACAGTTATAATTGGCTTGGAATCCCCAAGTATAAGGCTATGTAAATAAAGTGTCTTGTCTGCCATCTGAGCATTGCTATATTTTAACCATTAGACTGAACACTTGAGTAAAGTATGTCAAAAGTAGAATTCCAGCAATTTTGCTCTTGAAGTGATCTGCAAATTACTACAATAGTCTTTGAGATTTCAATATACTTTTCTGGGGAAGGTGATAATAAAACTCTGATGACAAGCTGCTTCAGAATACAGAATTGAGTGAATTAGGGAATATCCAATAGATCCCACATCATGTTTTAACCCTCAGATATGCTGATCTATCTCATTATGCACTGTTAAAAAAAAAGGAGGGAAACAAAGCTGGATTTATACTTTTAAAATTTAGATTTCTAAAAATTCCATGTAAAATGTGAACAGAAAATTCCTATGTTCAGATTATGTGCATATTCAGATTATGTGGATATATGAATGTCTGTTGAACCAAATGCATCTCAAGTTCTGAAGAAGCAATCTTAATTTTAGCTTTTCTGCTCCAACTGGAGTCTATAAGAGGTATTATTTGGACCAAGTCATATCCTCCAAGATTGGGTGTGTGTGTTCATTGTTGTTATGTTTGTTGCCAAAAAAACAAAATTAAATTACATTGTTCAATTGAGTGACACTATTAGATAGCTGTAGGCAGAAAGTCTTTCAAGCTGTGGTAACTGTTTTTTTTTTTAAAAAGAACTGTATTTTAAAAGACAACAGGTAATCCCCAGTGCATTTGTTGGTACAGTATAATCTTCTTGTGTACCTATACTTACTAAGTGTATGAATTTAAATTTAACTTCAACATATCTTCCTTTATAATAAACTCTGCCCCATGGATTTGAAGTTCTTATCTAATAGTAGGGGTGGAAAAAATATTTTCAAACTCTTATATTGCTTTAGTGTGCATAGTAATGCAATTAGTAGTAATACAGATCTTTTCCAAAATTCAATTTCATCAGTTTTATGTAATATGTTCCCATATGCATTTTGTACAAGTTAAACCATTTGGATATGTTTTTAATGTAGATGTTGGTATACTTGATATAGCTATGCATAAGTTACATGCATCATTTATTCCAATAGAAGATAATATATATAGCTCAGGGTTGAATATATGGCAAATAACTAAGCTCAGGAAGCACCAAGAACTCCTCATTGTTTACTAATTCTATCTATAATTTGGCATGTATTATATATAATTCCCATCTATTAATTGTGGGACTTTGGATACTAGTAAGTGAATTAATGTTGCTACTGGAAAATTCTCATTGCTGACAATTTCAAACAATTTTTTTTAAATTATAAGGACATTCAAATATTAAGATATCTATTCAAAATACAAATTTCTAAATATCCATCCCCTTAGTCACATTGCAAGTACCATAATGCAGAATTGTTTCTATCAATAATTTACATTGAAGCCAAATTAATTGGAAATTTGTGTATTAGCTGAAAATATTTTTTCAAATAGAGTTAGATTCTATAGTTCATGGATAATTTATTCACGTTTTTTCACCCAAATCAAATAAAATATTGTGAACAATACTTATATTCTTGAATAAAAATAAAGAATGTGTTATATTTATTTCAGCTCATTTTATGATCAGAATTGGTGTAGCCATTTGATGGAATAAAGATTTTTTAAAATCAATTTCATAGGTATTATTATTACTGCAACCACAGCTGATAATAACTAAATAATCCAATTCATATGTATGATTAAAATATAACGTAACAGCATAAATAATAATACTAATCATATGATGAAGATTGTATAGAGCACAGAACCCCAGAGCTGAGAGAGTGTCATTAGCATTCAAGAAAGTGTTGTAGCCTATTGGCCACTGGCCCCTCCAGCAGCCGAATCTGATGAGGTGGAGTGGGAGTCAGGGTCAGCATCAAGGCAACCTGAGAGCTCTGAGGGAGAAGAGGGAATGGAGCTGGCAGAGAGACAGAGGTGGAGCCTGGGCCGTCCCATCAGCCTTCAGATGAAGAGTCAACAGCTCCCAGGTCTGGAGGTGGCTGATGAGGAAGAGGAGGAACAGCTGGGTCCAGTTCCTGATGTGTGGATATACAGAAGGCAGAGGAGAGGAGAGCAGTGGAAATCCGTGGGTCGATCCATGGGAAGGAAGAGCCACCACTGCTAGCGAAGCCTCACTGTAGCTCTGGTGATAAAAGGCAGGGGGCAGAGATGATTAGATGTGGCAAGCATGTGGCAGCCTGCGGTGAGAGAGAAACTTTTTGCTAGGGTTGCTGGCACTCCTAATAAAGGAATCATTGAGTTAACTTCAGAGAACTTCTCGTGTTTTGGGGAGCTGAGAACAAATACTCTTGAAGGAGAAAGAAAGCTGATAAAAATTCTTACTGTCTTTCATTGTAATTAATTTATTGGAATGCATTGAATCAAAAACCTTAAGAATGGAAGGTCATCTGATATGTAATTACAGGTAGTCCTTGATTTACAACAGTGCATTTAGTAACTTCAACAGTACATTTAGTGACTGTTCAAAGTTGCAACAGCACAAAAAAAAAGTGATTTATGACTGTTTTTCACACTTATGATCATGTAGCATCCCCATGATCACGTGATCAAAATTCAGACACTTAGCAACTGCTTCATATTTATGATGGTGGCTGCAGTGTCCTGGGGTGATGTGTTCACTTTTTGCAACCTTTTGACAAGCAAAGTCAATGGGGAAGCCAGATTCACTTAACAAATGTGTAACTAACTTAATAAATGCAATGATTCACTTAACAAATGTGGCAAGAAAGGTCAAAAAAATGGGGCAAAACTTACTTAACAAATGTCTCACTTAGCAAGAGAAATTTTGAGCTCAGTTGTGGTCATAAATCAAGGAGTACCTGTTTTTCTGAGATAATTTATTTTCATTTGTATTTATTAAATTATGCTTTAAAATTCCATCCCTGATTTTCACAAATTCCAATTCCCATTCATAGAAAATATTCGAGAAAATTAATTAAAGTTAAGATGAAGTAGTTTTATTTTTATCTTTCTTGTATGGTTTGGTAACATCTAGTAGCAATAGCACTTAGACTTATATAACGCTCCACAATGCTTCACAACTCTTTTTAAGTGGTTTACCGAGTCAGCATATTGTCCCCAACAATTTACCCACCTTGGAAGGATGGAAGGCTGATCAATAAGTAGGGGTTGTTCTTAAACCAAACCAAACAAATAATAATTCTTTTGCATCAATCTTTGAAAAGATTAAATGCGTATAAATCCACAGTCCAGTTCAAATTCAGAAATTATCTTTGATAGTGAGATAATAGAATAGAATCAATGACTTTGAATTAGCCAGGAATATCTTTTTTTTCTCCATAAAAAATTACCATTCTTTTTTCTTTTCTTTTTATGTAGATTGTTCACAAGCACCAGCCAGACCTCCAAAACCACTTCCTCGTAGGACTGCTCCAGAAATACACCATAGGAAGGCACATAATACATCTATAGAAAATGTTGATGCAAAGATCGCAAAACTTATGGGAGAAGGTTATTCTTTTGAAGAAGTGAAGAGGGCCCTTGAAATAGCCCAGAATAATCTTGATGTAGCACGGAGCATTCTAAGAGAGTTTGCTTGCTTTCCTTCATCAGTTTCTCCACGACTCAATCTATAGTATGGAAAATCTTGCAGCAAGCCTAATTCTCCGTGGGTGTGTGGGTGGGTGTGTAAACATGAGAAATATTGTCCAGTGTGAGATGGGATTCAAGTGAGATTTTTTTTTCCTGGATGTATCTTCAAAGAATGAGTTGGAACAATTTTTCAGAATAAGATCAGCTGCTCACTTCAAGATATAAGTGAATTAAATCTGTATTTTTGCTAGCCATATTTTTGAATCAGGGTTGAACTGACAAATAATTTAAAGATGTTTACTTCCCATGAACTTTTAATCTGTGAAATGCTTTTTTCATGTTTACAAAATGGTAAATGACAATTTTAAAGCTGATAGTCCTCCTTTGTTCTTGTTCATATTTTCTACTGTGAGGCATTTCCAGTTGTCTTTATACTGATTTGCCCCATTTACTAAGTCAGTTACTTTTTATATACATATAAGTGCACTCTCCATTTTTATTTTTCAAGGAGCTTTAAATGCTTTTTGCATTTCTGCTCAAATAAAATGCAAGAAAAATGAGGCCTTCACTACTGATTTTATTTTTCTGATAGACCATTGCTATTTACACAAAGTAAAAAAAAATATGAATGTGTAATACATTACTTTGTTACTGGTCTATTTTAAAAGAGATTTTGACCAGCAACACTGAGTAGTTTTTCTTTGTGGTTGTTAAGCTTCAAGATCAGTATGGTTAACTTAAAAAATTAAAATATACAGTATTGCATGATAATGACCTGAAAACATAAATCCTTTTTTGATATAGTTATTCAAAATCCAAAAATTATGGGATTGAAATTAGACTTTTGTTCATTGGCAAGCTTAATAAAAGGCTGTGCGTGCCTTAATATTGGCAGATATATGAAATCCATCAGAGTGAATTTTATTATCAGTGGCCAGGTAAATTATTGTCTTATGGAAAGAAATATTTGATTAATTTCCTGTGTAGATAATGATTTCATCACAGTTTTGAGGACAGGATCATTTTAAGAACTCTTTAAATTTTCTATGCTGTCGCTGAATTCTATATCTACCAATTTTACAAGGATTTTAATTAAGTTACATTATACCTTAAATGTTCATTCAGTCTTCAGTTCAACTTATTGTGTTGTGCCTGTATTCTTGAACATAACTTTTTGCCATGAGTGGCTGGTAATATTTTAAAGCACAAGCCAAATCAAGTTCTTCAATGAATTTCATTTTGCCCTAGATCAGTGTTTCTCAACCTTGTCATCTTTAAGATGTGTGGACTTCAGCATGCTGTGTGGGGATTTCTAGGAATTGAAGTCCACATCTTAGTTAGATCTTCCAATTCCTATTTTTAAAAAACTTAATAGAAATTGTTGATTTGAAACAGTTAACCTTGAAATGGCTATTTTCCCTATCTTCTCTTAAATCAATTGGCATTTATATTACACTTCGACATGGTTCACCATCACTGACCTGTTTAAGTTAATATGTTACATAGTATAAGAGGAGACACATAAATGTGTAGGTTGACCCTCCAGTCTTCTCTATCCCATATAATTGAGGGAGGAAGATAAAACATTTAGAATATGATATGATTTGGTAATATTTCAGCCGATGAGGCCAAAGTGGTAGTAAACATTTCACAAAGATCGGACTTGGTTTAGTAGAATTTGCAAGTAATATAAGAAGCCAGGTATGCCTGCATTCTGTAATGCCAGTATTACATCTTTTATCCTTGGTCATTGGAAAATTATAAATATGTACTAATAGAACTATAGAATTGACATCACTTATACTGATAGTTCAAAAATAGAATTTTCTTTTTTTTTTTAAAACAAGTTTTATTAAAAGTTTCAACAACAAACAAATCATTACATATTGAATCTTTCCCTGTTTTTCTACAATAATTTCCCCAATATTCTCATAAAACACAAACAAACACAAACAAACATAAAAAAAATCTTTTAGTAAAGTACCTTGGCCCCAGTTACCTCTCTTTGCATGGGCTAAAATAATAACACATATCACTCTTCACATTTCTATCTTATTTAATCCATCTTAATTAAATCATTAAATTGTATCTTTTGCCCATTCATTTATCCCTCTATCTCTTCTTATAATAAAAGAAAAAATTTCTCCTGAAATCACTAATCAGAGTATGATGCCTTTCTATCCTCCCCCTAAGTTAGTAAAATTAACATTCAACATAACAAATACCCAATTTGGTTCTGCTTGGTACATTCTATCCACCAAAAATGTTTAAATACATTGTATCCTCCTTTCCTTCGATATTTTATTACATTTTAAAAATCAATCATTAATAAAAACTTCAACATTTTAATTTCTTATTAAATCTTAAAGCATTCTAATTTACTATTTCAAATATAAATGTTACAATACCATCTTCTGTACCTTAGCAGAATCTTTCTTACAGAAAATTATATTTCATCCTTTATCTCTAAAAAAAATCCCTCTTCTCCCATCCAATTTTAAAGCTTTGAGGCTTTTCTCCGCCTTTCCCCTTTCTCTCTTCCCCCACCAAATCTTCCTACCCCCCCTTCTTCTTCTAACCTCTGCCTTGCTGGGATCCCTTCTCTGTTGCATTCCCTTTTTCTCTTGTTTGTTATCATTATATTTACTTTGCATCATATTTTTCTCTTTCTCAAATGTTTTTTTAGATCTTAAGTCCTTCATTTTCCTTGCTCTCTTCCTTCCTTCTTCCTTAGATAAGTTTTGGAATTCAATGAAGATGGCGTCTTCGTCTCTTCCTTGTTGTTCTTCTTCCATTTCCATCTGTTCCATTGTCTGTTGGTAATTGACCAGCGCCATTTCTAGAAATAGAAAAGCTTTTTCCATGCCATCTTTGCAGATTGCTTTTGTTTGCTCATATTCATCCCTCAGGTCTTCAAAAAGGAAAGCCATTATAAATAAGTCTTTTCTTTTCTTTATTCCTCTTTCTTCTTACACCAACCAAATATTCCGAGAGAAAGGCAAAACAATCCCAAAATCCACAATCCTCAATAAATCCAAGCAAGCCAAAATTCCCCCTTCCTCTTCCAGGGGTGGTATCAAACAAATAAAAAAAAAGAATCCAAGTCTATATTTTAAAGCCTTATTAAGATTGTATTTCTGTCCTCAAGTCTTCAAGGCATCTCCTCCAACAAGATCCAAATTTATATATTTTCTTTATCCTCTCCCTTCCGGCTTAATTCCGTCGGGAGGGAGAGTAAACTTTCCCTTCAGCACCTCAAAACAGCCGCTTTTTTTTTCTCTTGTGGAAGAAATCATCAGAAAACCATCTTTTCCAGGAATTAAATTAAATAAATCTCAAAGCCCTGGGTCGACCAAGAAGAACTTTTACTTTCAATAACTTTCTCTTCTTCCTCCTGCGCATACTTGCCCGGCTGTCAACTTCTTTGTGGCGGCCATTACGGACCGCCGCTGCACCGTCCTGGTAACAGGGGGTTCTGCCGGCCAGGGAGGGGGTCTGCAACACCCCCAAACCCTTCCTCCGGATCCCCCTTACCTTCAGCTACCCCTGCAGGGCAGCCTTGCTCCGCACCCGTCCGGGTCGAAGCCCCAAAACGGCTAGCGCGGCAGGGATCGCGCAGCTTCGCGAATCCCTACCGCTCGCGAAGCCGACAAACCGGAAACTCTCAAAAAATAGAATTTTCACTGACACATCAATCCCTTCTATTCCCTGTGAAAAATAAACATGAAATATGACTACATTTAAATCAAAATGTATTAAAAAGGGTAGACAGAGTCTTGTTACCTTGAAGTCAAAAAAATAAAAAATGATTTCTAATACTTCCAGTGTAAGTATATATTAAAAAGCTAATATGCTGCTAAATTAAAGGATGTAATTCACCTACAATATAATTTTTCTTAGAATAAAATTTCCCAGTTGTGGTTGAGAACAATGGATTTTATATGTGTCTGTTGGCACATACATTGCCTGTGCATGGTTTTAATTATAATAGTTTAGGGTAATCAGAAGATCATGGCCAGTATATTTTTAAAAAATTCCTATGAATGTTTGAAATTATATCGGTTTGTGCCAACATAGTAGAAAAGTGTATACAGGATTCATCTAACAAAATAAAGAGGGTTATCATGTCCCAATGAACAATATTCCTACAAATTTCTTCACCATTACAGAAGTCATCTATTTGTCCTCAAGTGCAGCTTTTGAAGAGGGTCAAAAGGAATAGAAAGCCAGTGTAATATAATTGTGATGAACTAAGACTTGGGCCAGATTCAAGTCCATCCTCAATCAAGGAAACTCACTGGATAGTTTGGGATTGGTCAATGTTAGTTCAGCCTCACATTTTTTGAGAGTGCTGTGTATGATGTAATTGGTTCCTCAAGGAAAAGCAGGATATAAATTTAACAAACTACAAACATTCTTTTATAAATTGCTTAATGTACACATGTTAGTAGCCAGAAGAATAAATAGCAAATTATCTTTACACGATTTCTGTGTTTCCAGAGATAAAGGGCACATACTTACAAGTATACAAACATATTTAAGCAATCATATTGTGCTATATGACCTCTTCCTAAATTAATCAGTTTTAGAGTCTATCCATAAGCTGCTTTCTAGGCTGGAAGTATGACCATGTTTCTGCAATGGAGAGTCATTCAAAAACTTAAATAATGTTATCATACTTTAACCTTTATATTCTTTAGCTGTATTCAAAGTGTTGTTCAGGTGGAGGGGTGATCATCAGGCTGCTGGCTTTGAAGGAGTTTCTATATAAAATGGAAATTGATTTAAGTGAAACCAGTGATTACTTGCCACATATTTAGTATTTTCTTTTTCTGATTTCTTTTTAAAAAATCTACAATTAGATGGCAGTTTAGGAATGACTTTGGGCTCACATATGTAAGTATTGAGGGGAAGGCAGGGCATTTTATGCATCCTTGCCTTACAGCTAAACTATTTTAAATAGTTTAAACAGATATATATTTAATGTGGTATATATTAACATTATTAGTGATGTATACTAGTAATGTTAATGATATACCACATTATAGAGCAAATAGACATTTAGCATCTAA